TCCAGGGGAGGGCCTTGTCACAGCCGTTGGTCACAACCGGCGTGCTACCTCTATATCGTAGCAGTCGGATATGCGGGATATCTCATGGACTATTGCAATCCTTTAGTGCTCCTAAAGCGTAAATGAATATGTAGACGGCGTCTCATCCTCCATCCTGAACCAGCGGGCCCAACATCATGCAGCCCTTTCTGCAAGGAGGGCTTGCACGGCCTGGAAACAGGTCGCTTCTCCATAACCACTATCATACTAGCGGCCCCCATCCTTTATTTCCGATGCTAGTTCGCTTCAAGCACGTACGAGCAGCCCCCCGAGCAGCCCCCCTAGCGCCTGCTGCAGCTGCTGCCAAGGAACCTCCCCAGCAGCGCAGGGAGACCTCCAACGCCGGCAGCAGCAGTGGTGGTGGCCACAACAGTAAAGGGGCCTCATCTGGACCCGTTGAGCACGGGGCAGGCAGGAGGAGGGGTGGCCGCAGGGAGGCTGGAGGACAGAACTCAAACCTGCAGTGGGGCTGCCAGGGTGGGGATAGAGGCAGAGGGCGCGGGCGCGGGCGCGGTGGCCCTGCCCAGGGGACCCGCACTGATGCCTTCCGTGGTGTTTCCGACCTGCGCACCCTCGTGGCCGTGGTTGAGGATGAGTCGCCGGCCTGGGCGGCAGCTGGAGATGTGGTCAGCCTTCAACTGCATTCTCGGTCCTCGCTAGGGTAAGGAACCAATGCCAACCTTGTTATGGGACCGCGCTCCAGGCAAAAGAGGATCTCAGTGGCTTTATGAGGAGCTTTAAAGGATGGACGCTTTACTGCCATCTTTGCTTGGGACACGCCGCAGGGCCCTTCCTTTGCTGTGGTTTCATTACCTTCCTCTCCCACCTTTGTAACATTCCACATGCTGACATCCCCGTCCTCGGCCTGCCATTTGAGGACGTAGAAGGGCGAACTGCGCGCAAACTAGCCAGCGTACTGCAATCAATCAGCCCTACCCCGCTACCCTTTCCTGAATCCCTACCCACACCCTCTTCCTTCGCAGCTCGGCTCCCACCCCGGTGCCAACACCCAGCTGCTGCCCCGCGCCCTCACCACCCTGACAGCCGCCTACCTGCCACTGGTGCCGGGACTGGGGGACGCATTCTCGTGTGTGGCCCCGCTGTATGCCTGTGCCAAGCTGGGCTTCTGGGAGGGGCAGCTGCCGGCAGCACTGTTGGAGCGGCTGGGGCGGGATCGCGGGGAGCTGATGCAGCGGGCTAATGGGCAAGACCACAGCAACCTATGGTGGTCAGTGTCAGCTGCACCCCAACACCTCATACCTCTAGCGGACAGTGCCCTGAATGCAAGTGCTGTGTGTGTGGAGCAGATGCGGCCCTCGGAGCTCGGCCCACAAGTCTGCTCCAATAATCCTGCTGGCATGTGCCCGGCTGCTACGCCGCCACGACCCCCTGCTGCACCACCTGACCGCCAGCCTGGTGCAGCTGCCTGACGCCAGTTGCCAGAGCCTGGCTAACACGCTGTATGCACTGGGTAAGCTGGCTGAGGAGTGCGGACACCGGCCTCGGCAGCAGAACCTGCAGAGCTTGGCGGACAGGGTCTTGGAGCAGCTGCCACAGCAGCAGGACAGGCAACATGACGGAAGCCGTGGCTACACGGGACAATTCATCTCACAAGAGCTGTCCAACATGTTGCTGGGGTGTTCCAAGCTGGGCTTGTCCGACCAGGACCTCGTTCACTCTTTGGCAACGGCTCTTGTGGACAGTAGCCAGAGGACTAACGAGCAGGATGTGGCCAACGCACTGTATGCACTGGCTGTGCTAGGGTGCACAGGCCCGAAGGCTACATTGGCCATAACGCAGCTTTTCGCAGAGGTGCAGCGACGTCTGCACATCACACCTACACGTTTTGTTCCTCAGGATCTGTCCAACCTCCTGTGGGCCCTGGAGCGGCTGCGGCCTGAGGGCCAGGAGGCGCTCATGGAGGCCCTGGCAGCCGAGTGCAGGCGCCGCCAGTTCGCTGGCTTCAAACCTCAGGAGCTCAGCAACGCTGCCTGGGCGCTGGCCAGGATGGGCTTCAGCGACCAGGGCTGGTATGAGGCGCTTGTGGCAGCAGTGATGGCCCCAGGTGCCATGAGGGGAGCAAAGCCACAGGATTGCGCAAATCTGTGGTATGCCCTTGCGCTGGTACGGCACAGACCTCCTGATCCTTTGATGGAGGCTATGGCTTGGGACAAGCAGCATCCAGGCCCCCTTGCAAATTCCCAGAATTGCTCCAACCTGCTGTGGTCCCTGGCCACCCTGGGCCTCTACAATGAGCAGCTGGTGGATGGACTGGTGGGGCGGCTGGGAGAGCTGACAGCGGGGCAGCAGCAGGAGGAGGGGGAGGCGAGCGGGGAGAGGCCCAACAATCAGGATCTGGCCAACAGTCTGTGGGCACTCGCGGTGATGGGCCCGCAGGTGCTGTCCCGCCACTGCCGCCTGGTGGAAGGGCTGCTGAGGGAGGTGATGCGGAAGTGGGAGCACCAGGAGCGGCAGGATGGCTTCAAGCAGGAGGATTTGGCTCAGTTGTGGCAGGTGCAGCTGGAGCTGCAGCACGTGAGCAGGGGCAGGGGCAGGCCGCGCAAGGGAGCAAGCAGGCTGGAGCTCATCCTTGCTGGCGGTGCTGGCAGTCAGAGCTCTTTACTGGTGGCAATGCGGTGTGCAGCTAGTAAGGAGGAACCCCACATATCGAGAATGCAGCAGACTGTTGTCAGGGCTATCCAGCAGCTGCTGCAGCCAGCCACTGGTAACAGTGATGGCGCTGGGAATGCAGATGACGGCAACCGCACTTGCACCCCCTTATCCAGCAGCAACCCCCTCCTGGCCATCCTCCCCGAGCACCCGGTGGAGGAGCTGTGCTGCCGGGTAGACGTTGTGGTGGAGCTGCCGGGGGGGAGGCGGGTGGCGGTGGAGGTGGACGGACCATCACACTTCCTGGCCAACCACCCGCACACCCGCACCAAGGATGGCTCCACCCAGCTTCGGGACAGGCAGCTGGAGCGGGTGTTTGGGGCGGGGAACGTGGCGAGCGTGCCGTACTGGGAGTGGAACAAGTTTAAAGGTCGGGAAGGCCGGTTAACGTACCTGAGTCAGCTGCTTGGGTTGCAGCGGTAGCTAGAGTGGCCCCAGGTGCGCCTTGATGGAGTCCCGGTGGATCACCACATCAGGGCGGCAGCAGGCTACCAGGGCGCTGTGGTTTAGGTCGTATGCACGGGTGGGGAAGTGCAGCTGGCAAAACAAGTGTAGGAAGGATAAGGGCCGGGAGAACAACCCACGCAAACACAGCACGCTATCACATGTAGTACCGTATGTCGAACACGTAGAGGATGGCTCTGCCGCATTGCTAACGTATAGAGCAAGAGGTTAGGTCAGAAGTTCAGGAAGTGCGCTTACCAGAACAGTCGAATAGGCTCAATCCTATTCCCTTCTGCAATGGGACCTGTTATGGCAATTGCCACAGTGTTGGCCTGTAAAGGTGCTTCATGCATTTGCTGCTAGTGTCGCGCCCCGTTGCCGGCATTTCCATTCTGGCGGCAGAGACAGGTGCCGGTGTCCCGCGGTTCGGTCATGTTAAGAAGTTGACATATGATTTTGAGTATGTCATAAGGTGCCGTGTTGGCTCCTGTGGGCTTTGGGACTCGCTGTCTTGCATACGTCTGAATACGGCGTCTCGCATATGTGTCGTGCAGGTGGCTTTCTTGTTGGGCAGTGCAGCGACGGGCTAGGGTGCTGCGCACAGCTCGCAAAGACAGTAGGAAGAGACAGTGCGTGATCCCCACTTGTGCCGCTTTCTGCAGGAGCTGCCAGCTTGTGTGCACTATGCCAGCGCAAACCGATAGCCATCAGTCACTAAGGATAGCCGTAATAGTTATTTCTAGTAGTAGTCACCATCCCTCAAAGGCCTGCTGGTCAGCTTGTGGTCCAGCCGCCTTGCGGTCGGAACCCAGATAGCGACGCGGGGCAGCCGGGCGGCGCTACCCTGGCCTCACGTGATCTAGTTGCGCCCCTTTCTGTGCAACTGGGGAGCGAAGGGGATCAAGTATGGATCCCGGTGGTGTTAGGTGTGCAGTCCGGTGCGTGGCCGCGACACTAGCTGCTGTGCTAGCGTGGGTGAGTGAAGTCAAGCATGCACGCACCTGGTTGAACATGGCATTCCACGGGCTGAGGTAAGGGCTTTGTCACAGAGGGCGTCCAGAGCCCGAAGCGTTGTTCATGGGCTAGGCTGTACAGCTATGCTGACCTCACTAGACCTGTGGATCGTTGCCCCAGCCAACGGGTGTGATTGGTCGCAGTCTGTTGCAATGCTCCGTGGCGTGTCACGAGTCCATGTGCGCCATCATGGGTTCACTGAATGCTCCAGAGACACGCCCAAGGCCCCTAACTGCCAGTCCTTGGTACAGCAGGAGGGCCGAACCACTGCCAGCAACCAGATCTCAGCCGCCCTTCATGTAAGGATAGTTCGTTGAAGCACCCAGATTGTAACTCAGCAACCTCGCCGAGCAACACCTCGACGTGAAGTCGCCCTAAGCTGGGCTACCTGTCTTTGCACAACCGATTCCCCTCCCCCACGTTTCCTGGTCTCCCTCTGCTGGTGGACTGAGGCCGAGCCGTGCACGTGGAAGGGGGGCAACTGGACACTGAGTGACGTGGCGTGTGGGGGAGTTAGGAGGGAAGTAGAGCTTAGAATATTGGTGGTCAGCGCGTTGAAACAGCCCTTAATTAGGCATCATGGGTCGCTGGGATGGTAGGACGACCCTAACTCACACACTCAAACCAAAATCCGTCCCAAGGCGCAACGCCTCAGGAGTGTGTAAGTCTTCAGCAGTTCCTCCCCTCCGAGGCGTTGCAGGGAGCGGTGGTGGCAGCGGCCGCAAATCTTAAGCCCGCCTAGGTTGCGACCTTCCGACACGGCAACTACCGGTACGACCAGCACAGGATGTTTGCAAAAGAGCAAACCTACGACATTCCGTGTAGATTGTCGGCATTAACGAAAATACAGTAGTCGGTTGGGTTGGCAAACAAGTAAAGCTAGCTAGCGTACCGGGTATCGTAGCTCTGCGTGCTTGGTCAAGTAACTTGCCTCATTGGTATGGTCGTTCATCCGGTAGCTTCATTATACGAATTTAATCATGCTTGGTTAGGTGGTGCGTGCAGCTGTTGCAACGATGCTCTTCTGGAGGACTTGCAAGCGGCATGCAAGCGTACGCCTTACTCATATCCTAGCTCTGCGTCATGACTCCTATTCAGTTCAGAGTGTATTGCAGCCACTAACGCTATCCAGCCTAAATGGATTTGCGGACGAGGCTTCCTCCGCCGTCCCGAACCCGTGGTCCCAACATCATGCAGCCCTTTCTGCAAGGAAGGCCAGCGAGCCTGGACGCGAGTCGTGGCTCTGTAACCACTTTCATGCGATAAGCGCTCATCCTTTCGCTCCGGTGCTAGCTCGCTTCAAGCACGTACGAGCAGCCCCCCTAGCGCCTGCTGCAGCTGCTGCCAAGGAACCCGTTGAGCACGGGGCAGGCAGGAGGAGGGGTGGCCGCAGGGAGGCTGGAGGACAGAACTCCAACCTGCAGTGGGACCGCCAGGATGGGGGAAGAGGCAGAGGGCATGGGCGCTGTGGCCCCAGCCGGGGGACCCGCACTGTTGTCCTCCGTGACATCGCTGACCTGCGCACCCTCGTGGAGGTAGTGGAGGAGGAGGCGCCGGCCTGGGTGGCGGCTGGAGATGTGGTCAGCCTTCGAGCTGCGTTCTCAGCCCTTGCCAGGGTGAGAAACCAATGACAACCTTATCATGGAAGCGCTCCATGCAAAAGAGGATCTCAGTGGCTTTATGAGGAGCTTCTAAGGATGGACGCTTTACTGCCATCTTTGCTTGGGACAGGTCGCAGACCCCTCCCCCGTCCTTTTTCTGCTGTGGTTTCTTTGTCTTATCTCCACCTTTGCAACTCCGACACGCTGATTCCCCGTCCCCGGCCTGCCATTCGAAGACGTGGAAGGGTAAACCATGCGCAATGGCTAGCCAGCGTACTGCAAACATTCAATTCTACCCCGCTACTGAATCCCTACCCACTACCTCTTCCCTCGCAGCTCGGCTCCCGCCCCGGTGCCAACACTCGGCTGCTGCCCCGCGCCCTCACCACCCTGGCAGCCGCCTACCTGCCACTGGTGCCGGTACTGGGGGACGCATTCTCGTGTGTGGCCCCGTTGTATTCCTGTGCCAAGCTGGGCTTCTGGGAGGGGCAGCTGCCGGCAGCACTGTTGGAGCGGCTGGGGCGGGATGGCGGGGAGCTGATGCAGCGGGCTAACGGGCAAGGGCACAGCAACCTGTGGTGGTCAGTGTCAGCCGCACCCCAGCACCTCATACCTCTCGCGGGCAGTGCCCTAAACGCAAGTGCTGTGTGTTTGGAGCAGATGCGGCCCTCGGAGCTCGACGCTCAAGCCTGCTCCAACATCCTGCTGGCTTGTGCCCGATTGCAACACCGCCACGACCCCCTGCTGCACCACTTGACCGCTTGTCTGGTGCAGCTGCCTGACGCCAAATGCCAGAACCTGGCTAACACGCTGTATGCACTGGGTAAGCTGGCTGAGGAGTGCGGATACAGGCCTCAGCAGGACCTGCGGAGCTTGGCGGACAGGGTCTTGGAGCGGCTGCCACAGCAGCGGGACAGGCAACATGAGGAAAACCGTGGCTACCAGGGACAATTCATTCCGCAAGAACTGTCCAACATGTTGCTGGGGTGCGCCAAGCTGGGCTTCTCCGACCCCAACCTCGTTCACTCTTTGGCAACCGCTCTTGTGGACAGTAGCCAGAGGACTAACGAGCAGGACGTGGCCAATGCACTGTATGCACTGGCTGTGCTAGGGTGCACGGGCCCGAAGACTACATTGGCCATGACGCAGCTTTTCGCAGAGGTGCAGCGACGTCTGCACATCACACCTACACGTTTTGTTCCTCAGGATCTGTCCAACCTCCTGTGGGCCCTGGAGCGGCTGCGGCCTGAGGGCCAGGAGGCGCTCATGGAGGCCCTGGCAGCCGAGTGCAGGCGCCGCCAGTTCGCTGGCTTCAAACCTCAGGAGCTCAGCAACGCTGCCTGGGCGCTGGCCAGGATGGGCTTCAGCGACCAGGGCTGGTATGAGGCGCTTGTGGCAGCAGTGATGGCCCCAGGTGCCATGAGGGGAGCAAAGCCACAGGATTGCGCAAATCTGTGGTATGCCCTTGCGCTGGTACGGCACAGACCTCCTGGTTCTTTGATGGAGGCTATGGCTTGGGACAAGCAGCGTCCAGGGCCCCTTGCAAATTCCCAGAATTGCTCCAACCTGCTGTGGTCCCTGGCCACGCTGGGTCTCTATCATGAGCAGCTGGTGGAAGGGCTGGTGGGGCGGCTGGGAGAGCTAACAGCGAGGAAGCAGCAGGAGGAGGGGGAGGCGAGCAGGGAGGGGCCCACCAATCAGAACCTGGCCAACAGTCTGTGGGCCCTTGCAGTGATGGGCCCGCAGGTGCTGTCCCGCCACAGCAGCCTGGTGGAGGGGCTGCTGAGGGAGGTGGTGCGGAGGTGGGAGCAGCAGCAGGGGCAGGTTGGCTTCACACAGGAGGGGTTGGCCCAGTTGTGGCAGGTGCAGCTGGAGCTGCAGCACGTGAGCAGGGGCAGGGGCGGGTCACGCAAGGGCTTAAGCAGGCTGGAGCTCATCCTTGCTGGCGGTGCTGGCAGCCAGAGCTCTTTGCTGGGGGCAATGCGGCGTGCAGCTAGTAGGGAGGAAAGGCTGGACCCCCACATTTCGAAATTGCAGCAGACTGTTGTCAGGGCTATCCAGCAGCTGCTGCAGCCAGCCACTGGTAACAGTGATGGCGCTGGGAATGCAGATGACGGCAACCGCACTTGCACCCCCTTATCCAGCAGCAACCCCCTCCTGGCCATCCTCCCCGAGCACCCGGTGGAGGAGCTGTGCTGCCGGGTAGACGTTGTGGTGGAGCTGCCGGGGGGGAGGCGGGTGGCGGTGGAGGTGGACGGACCATCACACTTCCTGGCCAACCACCCGCACACCCGCACCAAGGATGGCTCCACCCAGCTTCGGGACAGGCAGCTGGAGCGGGTGTTTGGGGCGGGGAACGTGGCGAGCGTGCCGTACTGGGAGTGGAACAAGTTTAAAGGTCGGGAAGGCCGGTTAACGTACCTGAGTCAGCTGCTTGGGTTGCAGCGGTAGCTAGAGTGGCCCCAGGTGCGCCTTGATGGAGTCCCGGTGGATCACCACATCAGGGCGGCAGCAGGCTACCAGGGCGCTGTGGTTTAGGTCGTATGCACGGGTGGGGAAGTGCAGCTGGCAAAACAAGTGTAGGAAGGATAAGGGCCGGGAGAACAACCCACGCAAACACAGCACGCTATCACATGTAGTACCGTATGTCGAACACGTAGAGGATGGCTCTGCCGCATTGCTAACGTATAGAGCAAGAGGTTAGGTCAGAAGTTCAGGAAGTGCGCTTACCAGAACAGTCGAATAGGCTCAATCCTATTCCCTTCTGCAATGGGACCTGTTATGGCAATTGCCACAGTGTTGGCCTGTAAAGGTGCTTCATGCATTTGCTGCTAGTGTCGCGCCCCGTTGCCGGCATTTCCATTCTGGCGGCAGAGACAGGTGCCGGTGTCCCGCGGTTCGGTCATGTTAAGAAGTTGACATATGATTTTGAGTATGTCATAAGGTGCCGTGTTGGCTCCTGTGGGCTTTGGGACTCGCTGTCTTGCATACGTCTGAATACGGCGTCTCGCATATGTGTCGTGCAGGTGGCTTTCTTGTTGGGCAGTGCAGCGACGGGCTAGGGTGCTGCGCACAGCTCGCAAAGACAGTAGGAAGAGACAGTGCGTGATCCCCACTTGTGCCGCTTTCTGCAGGAGCTGCCAGCTTGTGTGCACTATGCCAGCGCAAACCGATAGCCATCAGTCACTAAGGATAGCCGTAATAGTTATTTCTAGTAGTAGTCACCATCCCTCAAAGGCCTGCTGGTCAGCTTGTGGTCCAGCCGCCTTGCGGTCGGAACCCAGATAGCGACGCGGGGCAGCCGGGCGGCGCTACCCTGGCCTCACGTGATCTAGTTGCGCCCCTTTCTGTGCAACTGGGGAGCGAAGGGGATCAAGTATGGATCCCGGTGGTGTTAGGTGTGCAGTCCGGTGCGTGGCCGCGACACTAGCTGCTGTGCTAGCGTGGGTGAGTGAAGTCAAGCATGCACGCACCTGGTTGAACATGGCATTCCACGGGCTGAGGTAAGGGCTTTGTCACAGAGGGCGTCCAGAGCCCGAAGCGTTGTTCATGGGCTAGGCTGTACAGCTATGCTGACCTCACTAGACCTGTGGATCGTTGCCCCAGCCAACGGGTGTGATTGGTCGCAGTCTGTTGCAATGCTCCGTGGCGTGTCACGAGTCCATGTGCGCCATCATGGGTTCACTGAATGCTCCAGAGACACGCCCAAGGCCCCTAACTGCCAGTCCTTGGTACAGCAGGAGGGCCGAACCACTGCCAGCAACCAGATCTCAGCCGCCCTTCATGTAAGGATAGTTCGTTGAAGCACCCAGATTGTAACTCAGCAACCTCGCCGAGCAACACCTCGACGTGAAGTCGCCCTAAGCTGGGCTACCTGTCTTTGCACAACCGATTCCCCTCCCCCACGTTTCCTGGTCTCCCTCTGCTGGTGGACTGAGGCCGAGCCGTGCACGTGGAAGGGGGGCAACTGGACACTGAGTGACGTGGCGTGTGGGGGAGTTAGGAGGGAAGTAGAGCTTAGAATATTGGTGGTCAGCGCGTTGAAACAGCCCTTAATTAGGCATCATGGGTCGCTGGGATGGTAGGACGACCCTAACTCACACACTCAAACCAAAATCCGTCCCAAGGCGCAACGCCTCAGGAGTGTGTAAGTCTTCAGCAGTTCCTCCCCTCCGAGGCGTTGCAGGGAGCGGTGGTGGCAGCGGCCGCAAATCTTAAGCCCGCCTAGGTTGCGACCTTCCGACACGGCAACTACCGGTACGACCAGCACAGGATGTTTGCAAAAGAGCAAACCTACGACATTCCGTGTAGATTGTCGGCATTAACGAAAATACAGTAGTCGGTTGGGTTGGCAAACAAGTAAAGCTAGCTAGCGTACCGGGTATCGTAGCTCTGCGTGCTTGGTCAAGTAACTTGCCTCATTGGTATGGTCGTTCATCCGGTAGCTTCATTATACGAATTTAATCATGCTTGGTTAGGTGGTGCGTGCAGCTGTTGCAACGATGCTCTTCTGGAGGACTTGCAAGCGGCATGCAAGCGTACGCCTTACTCATATCCTAGCTCTGCGTCATGACTCCTATTCAGTTCAGAGTGTATTGCAGCCACTAACGCTATCCAGCCTAAATGGATTTGCGGACGAGGCTTCCTCCGCCGTCCCGAACCCGTGGTCCCAACATCATGCAGCCCTTTCTGCAAGGAAGGCCAGCGAGCCTGGACGCGAGTCGTGGCTCTGTAACCACTTTCATGCGATAAGCGCTCATCCTTTCGCTCCGGTGCTAGCTCGCTTCAAGCACGTACGAGCAGCCCCCCTAGCGCCTGCTGCAGCTGCTGCCAAGGAACCCGTTGAGCACGGGGCAGGCAGGAGGAGGGGTGGCCGCAGGGAGGCTGGAGGACAGAACTCCAACCTGCAGTGGGACCGCCAGGATGGGGGAAGAGGCAGAGGGCATGGGCGCTGTGGCCCCAGCCGGGGGACCCGCACTGTTGTCCTCCGTGACATCGCTGACCTGCGCACCCTCGTGGAGGTAGTGGAGGAGGAGGCGCCGGCCTGGGTGGCGGCTGGAGATGTGGTCAGCCTTCGAGCTGCGTTCTCAGCCCTTGCCAGGGTGAGAAACCAATGACAACCTTATCATGGAAGCGCTCCATGCAAAAGAGGATCTCAGTGGCTTTATGAGGAGCTTCTAAGGATGGACGCTTTACTGCCATCTTTGCTTGGGACAGGTCGCAGACCCCTCCCCCGTCCTTTTTCTGCTGTGGTTTCTTTGTCTTATCTCCACCTTTGCAACTCCGACACGCTGATTCCCCGTCCCCGGCCTGCCATTCGAAGACGTGGAAGGGTAAACCATGCGCAATGGCTAGCCAGCGTACTGCAAACATTCAATTCTACCCCGCTACTGAATCCCTACCCACTACCTCTTCCCTCGCAGCTCGGCTCCCGCCCCGGTGCCAACACTCGGCTGCTGCCCCGCGCCCTCACCACCCTGGCAGCCGCCTACCTGCCACTGGTGCCGGTACTGGGGGACGCATTCTCGTGTGTGGCCCCGTTGTATTCCTGTGCCAAGCTGGGCTTCTGGGAGGGGCAGCTGCCGGCAGCACTGTTGGAGCGGCTGGGGCGGGATGGCGGGGAGCTGATGCAGCGGGCTAACGGGCAAGGGCACAGCAACCTGTGGTGGTCAGTGTCAGCCGCACCCCAGCACCTCATACCTCTCGCGGGCAGTGCCCTAAACGCAAGTGCTGTGTGTTTGGAGCAGATGCGGCCCTCGGAGCTCGACGCTCAAGCCTGCTCCAACATCCTGCTGGCTTGTGCCCGATTGCAACACCGCCACGACCCCCTGCTGCACCACTTGACCGCTTGTCTGGTGCAGCTGCCTGACGCCAAATGCCAGAACCTGGCTAACACGCTGTATGCACTGGGTAAGCTGGCTGAGGAGTGCGGATACAGGCCTCAGCAGGACCTGCGGAGCTTGGCGGACAGGGTCTTGGAGCGGCTGCCACAGCAGCGGGACAGGCAACATGAGGAAAACCGTGGCTACCAGGGACAATTCATTCCGCAAGAACTGTCCAACATGTTGCTGGGGTGCGCCAAGCTGGGCTTCTCCGACCCCAACCTCGTTCACTCTTTGGCAACCGCTCTTGTGGACAGTAGCCAGAGGACTAACGAGCAGGACGTGGCCAATGCACTGTATGCACTGGCTGTGCTAGGGTGCACGGGCCCGAAGACTACATTGGCCATGACGCAGCTTTTCGCAGAGGTGCAGCGACGTCTGCACATCACACCTACACGTTTTGTTCCTCAGGATCTGTCCAACCTCCTGTGGGCCCTGGAGCGGCTGCGGCCTGAGGGCCAGGAGGCGCTCATGGAGGCCCTGGCAGCCGAGTGCAGGCGCCGCCAGTTCGCTGGCTTCAAACCTCAGGAGCTCAGCAACGCTGCCTGGGCGCTGGCCAGGATGGGCTTCAGCGACCAGGGCTGGTATGAGGCGCTTGTGGCAGCAGTGATGGCCCCAGGTGCCATGAGGGGAGCAAAGCCACAGGATTGCGCAAATCTGTGGTATGCCCTTGCGCTGGTGCGGCACAGACCTCCTGATTCTTTGATGGAGGCTATGGCTTGGGACAAGCAGCGTCCAGGGCCCCTTGCAAATTCCCAGAATTGCTCCAACCTGCTGTGGTCCCTGGCCACGCTGGGTCTCTATCATGAGCAGCTGGTGGAAGGGCTGGTGGGGCGGCTGGGAGAGCTAACAGCGAGGAAGCAGCAGGAGGAGGGGGAGGCGAGCAGGGAGGGGCCCACCAATCAGAACCTGGCCAACAGTCTGTGGGCCCTTGCAGTGATGGGCCCGCAGGTGCTGTCCCGCCACAGCAGCCTGGTGGAGGGGCTGCTGAGGGAGGTGGTGCAGAGGTGGGAGCAGCAGCAGGGGCAGGTTGGCTTCACACAGGAGGGGTTGGCCCAGTTGTGGCAGGTGCAGCTGGAGCTGCAGCACGTGAGCAGGGGCAGGGGCGGGTCACGCAAGGGCTTAAGCAGGCTGGAGCTCATCCTTGCTGGCGGTGCTGGCAGCCAGAGCTCTTTGCTGGGGGCAATGCGGCGTGCAGCTAGTAGGGAGGAAAGGCTGGACCCCCACATTTCGAAATTGCAGCAGACAGTTGTCAAGGCTATCCAGCAGCTGCTGCAGCCAGCCACTGGTGACGGTGATGGCGCTAGGCATGCAGATGACGGCAACCGCACTCGCAGCCCCTTTTCCAGCAGCAGGCCCCTCCTGGCCATCCTCCCCGAGCACCCGGTGGAGGAGCTGTGCTGCCGGGTGGATGTGGTGGTGGAGGTGGCGGGAGGGAAGCGGGTGGCGGTGGAGGTGGACGGACCATCACACTTCCTGGCCAACCACCCGCACACTCGCACCAAGAATGGCCCCACCCAGCTTCGGGACAGGCAGCTGGAGTGGGTGTTTAGGGCGGGGAACGTGGTGAGCGTGCCGTACTGGGAGTGGAACAAGTTAAAAGGTCGGGAAGGCCGGTTAACGTACCTGAGTCAGCTGCTTGGGTTGCAGCAGTAGCGAGGGTGGCCCCAGGTGTGCCTTGATGGGGTCCTGGTGGATCACCACATCACAGCTGCTGCAAAGAAATGAAGCTGGAGCGACGCACGTAGGCAGAGTCTGGTTGGGGGAATAGCCCACACAAACACATTGTACTATGGTGTTCACTGTACACAGAATTACAGCCAACAAGCATTATATACCTATTTCAGAAGCTATTCATCAGTGCTCCTTTAGTGTTGCCCATGACTCTTGGCATTGGTCATCATGTCGGTGGCAGGTGAACGGTCTAGTACAGGCTTGAGTGTTGGCCGCCACCGTCGCGTGACCCTGCTCTGCCAGACAAGGTGCAGGTCGTGGTGGGAGTTGCCTGTTGTTACCGGGACGCAGGAAACTGGCCGCTGCTCCTCACTTGCACCGGGAGCAGCCCGGGGCCAGGGCTGTAACTAGCAGCCAGAGCAAGCCCTGTTGGCTGCGCCTCCTCATCTGAACACACTTCTCCACCCCCATCTGCACACCTCTCCTCAGTCATTTAGTTGTTTCCTCTTTACCCCCATCTGCCTCCTCGCGCCCTCCATGGAGGCAACTTGTTTAGAGCCCACCAGGCCTGAGGGGAAGCAATCAGGCCATACCTCCCTCCTCATCCCTGCGCACGTCTCAACATCTCCACCCACTCTGTCTCCTCATGTCCTCCACCGAAGGGACAACTCACACACGCCCCTTGATTATTGGCGCCACCTTCGGCACTGCTTGCCACCGCTGCTTCTACAGCCCCGGCAGTCGCGGTCATGGGTAAGATACCGAGAACACATTTCCTCGTACCTTCATTCTTGTCCTTGGCCTCCAGCCCCACCGCTGCATCCAAGCATCGTTGTCGTCGCTGCCTCTTGAAAGCCACCAGTGGTAGCCGCACCAGCCAACCATCCATATGTACCTGGCTTCCAAACAGCTGCCAACACTGCTCGCGTCTCATTCGTTCTTGACGCCACGTATCCGGGCCTACGCATTCGTTGTTTTTTCCTCTCATCTCTCTCATCTCTCGATAACCCCGCTCTCCGGTTCCCACTCCTACCCTCACCGATACGCAGCTGTAACCTCCAACCGTCCTCGCCCCATGACCTCCCGACGTGCAACATGTCTTCCCCCCCACCCTGCTCCTACCACCCTACTCCCGCATGCAGGTCGCATGCCACATGGCGCCCAATCCACCGTAGACGACCCCTTCCTTACCCTGCGTCACCTTAACAATCCTACAAGCCCCTCTTCCTCCTCCATCCAGCCCCCCACCACTATCTCCCTCCAACCCCATCCACCATCCTTCCCCCTCCCGCTCCTGCCGCCCCCGGCCCTCCCTTCTCCTCGTACGCCAGCACCGGCAGCGGCCGCTCGAACAGGCGCCCCACCTGCCCCACCACGTTGTGTCGGATCTTGAATAGTCCCGTGCCGGTGGGCATGGGGATGCCCATGATGATGCTCTCACTCACCCCCACCACGTCGTCAACGCGGCCGTGAATGGCGGCGTCGAAGAGGTGGTCGGCGGTCTTTTCGAATGAGGCGGTGTGCAGCACGCTGTCCTTCATCTTGGCGATGCCGAAGCGCGTGATGCCCAGCACCTCGCCCTGAGCAGCAGCAGCAGCAACGGTTCGGGGTGTTGGAAAGGGTGAGGGGTGTTAACCAGGTGAAGAAGAAGGCTAAACGGGTAAAGTGCCACATGGGGGCAGCAGGGTGGAAGGGGTCAAAAAGGAACACGGAGAATGACCCCTCCATGATCCCAACAGCTGTGGGAAACCCACGCCACCTTTTACAGAGGTACGCCTGCTCAGTTTACCCCCAGACACCTCACCTCCCCTTCCCCGCCCCCTCCCCCCCTCACCTTGTACGACATGCAGTCCGCCAGCAGCATGATGTGTCGGTCGTCGATGCTCATGCCGTGACTGCCCATAGTGTACTTGATCTCCGACATGATGGCGGAGCGGGCGGCCTGGAGGGGGGGGGGAGGAAGAGGGGGGGTGAGGGGAAGGGAGGGGGGTAAGGATGGCTGGACGGAGGAAGGAGGGCTGCGGGCTAGCTAGCTAGCTAGGCGCTTTGGTCTGCTGGTTCCAGCAGTTGAAGGTGGCCCGTGACGCGATTGTCATGCGGATAGGCCCATCCTACACGCATGCAAGCATACCCTGCCCGCAACAACCCCTTACGTAGACACGCTTGTTTCCCCCGCCTGCCCTGCTCTCCATCCCCCCTCCCACTCCCACCTCGATACCCATGAAGCGCTCGATCTCCGCCACGTGGTTGGTGGTGGTATGGGTGCCCAGCACTCCCAGCGTGCCCATCACCGCCTGCAGGGTGGGCAGAGGAGAGGGGCGCGGCGGGGCGGGGCGGGGCGCGGGAAGGAAGAGCTGAGTACAAGGACTGGTAGGGGAAGCGGGCGCATCAGGATGCAATGCAAGCTGCAGCCGCAAAGCCACAGCGGCATATCCCAAACCAAAGACCTCAGCGCGCTCAGGCCCGCTCCCGCAAACCTTCGTGTCCATCCCGCCCCCTTACCCGTAGCACAACCCCCCTTACCACCCACCTGCACGTTGGTCCCCTCCACCAGCAGCGCGTACTTGTCCCCCTTGTCCTTCGTGATGACCGCCCGCTCCACGCTGGGGATGCCCATCACAATCACCTGCAGGGGCGGGGGCGGGGAAGGGTGCAGGTTGTGTGGAGCAGCGCCCAAGCTGGAAGCAACAGCAGCAGCCCAGAGGAGAGAAGAAAGGAAGGGCTAAAGCGAGGCACAACCTCCAACTAACACGACCAGCATAACTAAATCCTATAATAGCCCACCATCCGTCTACCTGCCCCTTCATTCTCTTATTGCATCATGTTCCTGCGCCTCGATGCCTTCCTCTCAACCCCCCCCCCATCTCCTCCCCTGCCTTCCTCTGCCCCCTCCCTCCCCACCTTTGGCAGCTTCCCCAGCAGCCCCTCCAGGCAGAACAGCAGCCCCTGCCGACTGCCGTCGGGCGGGTAGACCAGCACCTTGTCCTGCGCCACCGCGCGCACGTGCTGCTCCTTCAGACGCAGCTTGGGCGTGTTCAGGATGCTGTACTTGACCTGCAGGAGGAGGGAAGGGGATGCGGGTGAGAGAGGGGTGTGAATGAGACAAGGGGTGTGAATGAGCAGCGGGCATCACACACTGCTCATTCATGCACATAAGCATCGGAACGGTGCTCGAGAGCGAAGGCAACAGAGTAGAGGAGGAGCGTTCCCATCAGCCCCATGCGCTCCATGGCCATACCGTGCCACCCCACCGCCAATCCGCCATCCCTCAAGCTCTCCCTTCCCTCCCAACCCCTTCCAGCACCCCCACCGTGTGCCCATCCACGTCCAGCTGCAGCGCCTCAATGGTCGCCATGTCCAGCCGGATGGAGATCACCGCCTCACCGTGGATGCGGGGCCCGCCGCCGTACGCACCCCCGCCGCCGCCGCTGCCGTACGCCCCCTCCACACCCCCTCCGACATCCGCCTGCCCACCCGCCCGGCCCGGCCGCAGCACGATCTTGATGTGCCGCGCCACCTGCCCCAGAGTGGTCTTCTCCAGCCGCCCCTTCACCAGCCGGGCGGCCTTCACGTCCGTGTCGACGGCCAGGGCGACCTGGGAGGTGGAGGAGGGGAAGAGAGTTGGTGATGGGTTAACACCGCATGAGAGGAAATGATGGACGCGTGGTTGGGAAAAGTCAAGCAAACTGGTCACGGGTTACCAGTAGTAACCAAGATACAATACTTGGCACGCAGTACCCACACACACATACCACTTCATCTTTCGGCAATCACAGTACGTTTCTCTTCGCGGCCAGTTATTTTTACCACATACCAGGACCCCTAGCCCCTCCCTCCGGCCGCTCCTATCCCCCTTGTCTTGCCCCAACCTGTGATTTCCTACGGCTCGGTCTGGTCCCTGATCCCCCCTTCCCCTCCTCACCTTCATGATGGGCGTGCTGATGGTCCGGGCGGCGTTGATGATCTCCTTGATACGCGGCACACCCAGTGTCACGTTCATGGAGGCCACACCCGCGAAGTGGAACGTCTTGAGCGTCATCTGGGTGCCCGGCTCGCCTATACTCTGGGCGCCCACCGCACCCACTGTGGAGCCTGGGGGAGGGGGGGCGGGGCGGGAGGGAAAGGGATGCAGTTTAGGCACCGAGTCATAAGCGTCAGTAGAACAACTTCAGTAGAAGGCGGACGTGAGAAGGCAAGGAGGCGGTAAGGGCGGACCGGAGCGGAGTAAAGGGTGCAGCTCTCCCACCTCTCCCTCCTCCCAACACCCTGTCACACTCCCTGAAAACCGTCCCAAGCCGCCTCCCGCTCCTCCTCCGTCCTACCCGGGTCAATCCGCTTGGTCGCGTACTTGCTGATGCACATCGACACGAACGCCTCCAGCTGCGCCGGCGTCAGGCCCTCCTGCCCCGCCACGTACTCCGCCGCCTGCCCGCCGCGCTCGCCCTCGTCCAGCCCCAGCCGCTTGCGTGCAGCTCTGTATTGCGTCAGCTGGGAGGCCAGGAAGTCGCGAAGACCCGCTCGGAAAGCGTCGCTGCACCAGGGGGTGCCCAGGTTCAGGGAGGAGGAGGAGGCGGCTGGCTTGCCGCTGCCCTTGTCACCCTTGCTGCTGCCTGCATGGCCGTTCGCTGCGGCGGGTGCTGCCGTGTCCATGGTGGTGATGGAGGAGGAGGAGGAGGCGGCTGCTGCCAGCTGGGGTCGCTGCAGCTGCTGCGCCACCAGCTGCTCCAGGCGGGCGGGCAGGGGCACCTCCTGGGCGCCACCCTGGGAGAGCGGCAGACGCCGGGTGGTGGCGCGGACCTGGGGAGGGAGGGCGGGAGGGCGGGAGGGTGGGAGGATCAGCAGCAGGTGGCAGGGGAGAGATTGGGGTGAGAAACAGGCGTTAGTGCGAAGTTTTTCGCCTGCGCTGGCACCGTTAGACCAGTCTCGGTCGGGTTCCCCGCTGTAACGTCCCTCATGCACCACCTCATCCACCACCACCACCACCCCGCCTTCCCCCCACCTTTGCCAGCAGCCTTCCAAAGTCCAGCGGCTTGCCGTCCTTGCCCTCCATGGCCACCGGGTCCATGCCGTCCTCGCCGTACAGCAGCTGCACGATGCCGCCCCCCGCGTTGCGCACCGTGCAGTCGTAGTGCGCGTACAGGTCCTCCAGCGCCTTCATCAGACGGCGGGACATGTAGCCTGGGGGAGGGGAGGGGGGGGTGGAGGCAGGGAGGTGGTAAAGCGCTGCTTGTTTATTTGCGGGCTGCTGAAGGCTCCCAAAGGCAGGGACCGTCGGGCACCCGTTGGGATGACAACTAGCAGTACAGAACCAACCGGCCGGGCCCCCCCATGTGTCCCCGCCCTCACCCGTCTCCGCCGTCTTCACCGCCGTGTCCACCAGTCCCTCGCGCCCCCCCATGGTGTGGAACCAGAACTCCGTGGCGCTCAGGCCGCTGTAGAAGGAGTTGGCGACGAAGCCCTTGCCTGGGGGTGGGGGGTGGGGTGGGGGGCCGGTGGGGATTGTGTTTGGGGCATTGATGGGTTCTCTTAGGGTTGATGCCGGTTGGTCCCATGGCGTCCTAGTCCCCAGCCCTTTAATCTGGGCAGAAGCAAAGCACAGCGCTCATCCCCACAGAGCGTCCTCCCCTCCCCAACCCCTCACCCGCCGGCGTCTTGTCCCCCCGCGGGTAGTGCGGCAGCGTCCGCTCCCTGAACCCGTTGAAGCAGCGCTTGCCGCCCACACTCTGCTGCCCCACGCACGCCACCATCTGCGCGATGTTGATGGGCGAGCCCTTGCTGCCGCACTGGCTCATGATGAGCGGGGAGTTGTGGTGGTCCAGCGTGTCCATGCACACCTTGCCCGCCACCTCGCGGATGTTGTTCAGCACGCCCGTCATGTTGGCCTCCAGCGACTGCTCCGCGTTGCAGCCGGGCTGCAGCTGCAGCTCGCCCTGGGGGGGAGCGGGAGGGGGGAGCGACAGGGGAGGGATGGGGCGAGGTAAGGATGGGGAAGGGAGCTAGGGAAGACACAAACAGGGCAGGATTCCGGGACAAGGGAAAACTTAAGCGCGCCCTTGCGTCCTTCCAAAGCACGCAAGCTTGGCACAACAGACCAATCAGTGTCCCTCCCTCCCCAACCCCTAGTAATCCCTCCCACCCCTCCCCCTCCCCCCCACTCCCCTACCTTTTTGAAGGCGGTGATGAACTCCTGGCAGTCCGAGTAGCCCTTGCCCACGGTGTCCGCCTTGGCCGCCTCCAGCCGGGGTGCGGGCGTTACGTCGTCGATGCCAATGGAGAAGCCGCGGTTGCCCATGTGGCGCGCCGCCATCTTGGCGAGGCGCGACATGGCGGAGGCGGCGGCGTAGGGCGAGTAGTCGCAGTTGAGGGTGCCGAACAGGCCGGACTTGGAGCCGCCCAGGACCACCTGGAGGGGGAGGAGGGAGAGTGGAGGAGAGTGTGATGAGACGAGAACGGGCCGAGCCTGAACTTACCAAGAGCCCCCCTTCTTCAGTGTCCTTTTCTCCACCAATTGAAAGGTGAAGCCTTTGAACCCTGCCACCAGATCACCCTTATCACAGTGCCCGTCGCTTCCCTTGTTGTCACAATACGTCTCCACCCCTCCGCCCCTCCTCCTCCTCCTCCCCACCTCACCTTGCCCAGCCTGCCGCTGATGAGCTCGCTGTTCCTGAAGCACACCCAGCCGTCATTGGGGCACATGTGCTCCCCCTTCTTGCTGTACACCTTCTCCGCCATCTCCAGGTTCACGAACACGCGCACCCCCGCCGCCGGCCGCACCAGGCAGCTGAACAGCTGTTTGCCCGTCCACAGCTCCAGCGGCTTCAGCAGCGCGGGGGTGGGCAGGTCCAGGTGCTCCAGCCCGTCAGCCATGGTGGCGAGCAGGCCGCAGAACTCGGCGCGGGAGTAGAAGCGATCCTTGGAGGTGAGCAGGAAGGCGCAGGTGAGGAAGTCCTGGTGGGGAGGAAGGGAGAGGGAGGGGGAGAGACAGGTTTGCATAGTTAGAAAGAAGCCGAGCGGGACTCGATCTGCCGGAAACCCCCTGGAAGAGCCGATCCCCTCCTCTCCGTCCCCCCCTTACCTGCGTTGCCGAGATCATGATGTCCCCGTTTTTGGGGGTGGCCAGGTTGTTGACGGAGCCCATCAGGTTGAGCGCCTCGGCGCGAGCCTCCTCAGTCTGGGAGGGAGGTGAGGGGGCAGGTGAGGGGGGGAGAGTGAGTGGTGCGGTGGAGGTGGAGAGGAGTAAGGACAGGAAGCGGACCAAGCGAGGGGACAAGAGAAGTGAGGACCAGGAATTCGTGCATATCTACGGGTACAAAGACGCTTTCCGCGCGTTTCAGACCACCGTTGCTCGGCTACCCTACCCCTACTGGCGACCACACACCCTCCACCACCCGCACCCCACCTGCGGCAGGTGCAGGTTCATCTCGTCCCCGTCAAAGTCCGCGTTGAAGGGCGAGCAGGCGCACTCGTTGAACCGCAGCGTGCGCCAGGGGCGGACCTGACGGAGCGGAGGAGGGGAGAGGAGGTGAAGAAGATGGGAGGGGAGGAAGGGCGGTGAACCACAGGCCAGGCTTCCAACCCAAACCCTCGCCCCTTCCTCCCCTTCTCACCTCCTAGCCTCCCCTCAACACCCCCTCCCCCACCCCCACCCCCCTCACCTTGGCCCTGAACGCCATGATGGAGATGCGGTGCAGCGAGGGCTGCCGGTTGAACAGCACCACGTCGCCGTCCTCCAGGTGCCGCTCCACCGTGTAGCCCACCTTGAGCTCCGCAGCGATCTTGCGCCGGTCGCCGAACTTGAGGAACTGCTTGTCGCCGTCGGGGCTGACCACGAAGTTGGCGCCGGGCCAGGTGGAGATGCCTGCAGGGAAGAGGGAGGTGGGTTAGATAGGAAGTAACGAACCAACCGTGGAGGAGGTAGGGGGAGAGGGAAGGGAGTGTTGTGGAAGGGAGGGGTCGGAGGAAGGGGTTGAATGATAGAAGCGTAGGATGGATGCATGCAGGGTTGATTAAATGCTTGCATGCAATTTAAATGTATGCATGCGTGCAAGTTCGATTTTGCATGCAGGTCCGATTTCACGCATAATGCAAGTTCAATTCAATGCATGCATGCGGGTTCAATAGGTTGCATGCAAGTTCGATTGACTGCATGCATGCAGCATCGATTTCACGCATAATGCAAGTTCGATTTGATGCATGCATGCAGGTTCGATTTGACGCATAATGCAAGTTCGATTGGATGCATGCATGCAGGTTCGATTGGATGCATGCATGCTAGTTCAATGGGATGCATGCGTGTAGGTTCGATTGAAGCATGCTCATGCAGGTTCGATTAAATGCATGCAGGTTCGCTTGAGTGCATGCATAGAGGTTTGATTGGATGCATGCATGCAGGTTCGATTGAAAGCATTCATGCAGGTTCGATTAAATGCATCCATGCACGTTCGATTCGACGCATGTAAGTTCAATTTTACGCATAATGCAGGTTCGATTGAATGCATGCATGAAGCATCGATTTCACGCACAATGCAGCTTCGATTTGATGCATGTAAGTTCGATCATAACGCATGTTCGATTTGATGCATGCAGGCTCCATTTCACGCATAATGCATGTCCTTCAATTGAATGCATGCATGCGGGTTTGATTAGGTGCATGCAGGTTCGATCGTATGCATGGGCCTGCTGCTCCTTTCTCCTCCCACGATGTTGCCCCACGCCCCACAAAGAGAACAGAAACAGAACTGCCCCAGACAGACAAGCACGGCAGGCCCCTTCCTTTCCGCCCGCCTCCATTCCCACCACCCACCCACCTCAGCTCGTCAGTACCTCAATTTTCCTGATTCCTCCTCACCATACACCCCCTAACCTGCTTTCCTATGGTTTGGTATGGTCCATGATCCCCCTTCCACCCCTCACCGTTGAGCACCCTCTGTCGCAGCTTGTCCACATTGTAGCGCGTGACTCGCTCCGGGTAGGTCAGCACCACCGCCATGTGCTGCGGCACACACACCTGCAGAGAGGGGGAGAGCGGGGTGGTGAGTCAGGTGAGGCCCGGCAGGAATGGGCGCAGCCAGGAAGCAAAAGAAAAAGCGCAGGACACCGCCCCCTCATCGCCCAGGCGCCAAGCCGCACCCAACCACAAGTTCCCCACCACCACGGTCAGGGTCGGTGTTTTCGCTGCTCAGTATACCGGTACCCCCCACCAAGCCCAGCTGCACCCCGCCTGCCCACCTGGAAGATCTGCAGGTTGGGGTCGGGCGAGATGACGGTGCGCCCAGAGAAGTCCACTCGCTTGCCCGACAGGTTGCCGCGGAAGCGACCCTGCTTGCCCTTCAGCCGCTGCACGAAGCCTCTGTTGGGAGGAGGGGTGGGGTGGTAGGTTCAGGGAGGCAGTAGCCGTAGGACAACTGTGGGAGAAGCGCACGAGGCAACCAGGAACTTGGTAACGGTGACAGAGCCCGATCACCCCAGTTTAATCCTCTTAATCCCTATAGCCCCTGCCGCACCCCCCGCCCCACCTGAGCGGCCTGCCCGGCATCTGGAACTGCGCGGGCAGCCCCGGCAGGTCGGAGTTGATGAGCATGGCGGCCTGCACCTGCAGGAAGTCCCAGTTCTCCATCAGGTTGGAGATGGGCAGCCCCTTCTCCAGCCCCTGGCGCAGCACGTTGTTGACCTCGATGATTTGCTGCGAGGCGGGGAAGCGGGGGGGAGGGGCAGTGAGTTGGTGAGTTGTCGTAGCCGGCGAAAGCCAGGAAAGTGTGTGGATGAACGAGGGCTAGACCCACCAGTTATCTTAGCACGCCATGGTCATCAAGGTCAGTATCAATTTTGCAACCAGCCAGTCAATACTAACGCCCCCACCATGAGCTTCATGGTGATGTCATCCTCGTTGGATGACCCGTCCATCTCCACGGAGGGGCGGATGGCCACCGGCGGCACCGCGATGTGCGTCACAACCAGGTCCTCGGGCCGGCCTGGGGGGGAAGGAGGGAGGAGAGAGGGGATGGGTGGGAGGGGAAAGGGAGGAGGAACGAGGCAGGTGTGAGCAGCGGCAGGGAGGTGCGGCAGCTGGGGTGCGTGAGTGGGGGGATGTATGTTTGTTTGTACGGGACAACGGACTGAAGGCCAATCCCGCTTGAACCCATCCCCGCACCATGTAATGCGAACACCCCTACTGCCCCTTGCGCCATCCCCCAACCCCACTAACATCACCCCTCGCCTCCGCCTCCCCTGCCACCCACCCTGTATGTCCCTTCTCCTCCCCGTCTCCCCGCCCCCCCCTGCCACCCACCCTGGATGTCCAGCAGGTCCAGGTCCTCATCCTGGATGGCCTCGAACAGCGCCCTCACCCGCAGCGGGTGCAGGTCGTCAGCCATGCGGTGCAGGTGCGGCCGCAGCTGGTCGTTGTACTTGAGCGCGTCAGACAGGGTCTCCTGGGGGAGGTTGCGGGGCGGGGGAGGGAGGCGAGATGGTTGGCGTTTAGGGCTGCGTGGGGGCGAGCTTACCACACTTGGGAAACATGTGTGGAAAGGCCGGAGGATGGGAGGAAGGGTAGCTTCACGAAGGGGTTCAGACTAAGCACGCAGGACGTTCGGCTCATGGGCAAGGCGCCCACCACTCACCCCCCTCAGCTTCTTCCCCTTTACCTGCCCGCCCGCCATCCCGCTCCCCCACCCCGCCCCCACCTTGTACTCGTCAAAGAGGGTCACGTTCTTGGCGAAGCGCTCGTGGATGATCTTGAGCGCACCCGAGGCCTTCCTGCTCGGACAGGGGCGCAAGGGAGGAAGGGGGCAAGCAACAAGGTAAAATTGAAGCACTGGGACCCCGTGGCGCTACTCATGCAGGGAGCGAGAGGACGGTCACGCAGGGAGCACACGGGACACACGCGAAGCAACCTTTCCCACCGTCCTTATCGGTCCACCCTTCCTCCTCTCCCTCCCCGCCCCCCTGCGCTCACTTGACGGTCGCGTTGTACTCCCCGCAGTAGGGGCAGTTGCGCTGGCGCTTGCAGCGGTCGTTCAGCCGCCGGAACAGCAGCCCGCGCTGCACCCGCTCCAACCGCGGGTTGCGGAACCGCCTGGGGGGGGGGCAGCGCGGGGGTGGGGTGGGGGGGAGGTCAATTGCGACAGGAGGCGGGAGAAAGGACGGGAAGGAGGGTGGAGGTGAGAAGCCGATGCTTGTGTACGATTCTATGCTCAACACAGAACCCTTGCGTGCCCCTTGCATGGTACGTCTTTCCACGCATCGTGACTCCTTCCCAAGGCGTGTCCCGTTGTTAGCCTCTCCCTCCCCTCCCCTGTCCTCCCCCCTCCCTCACTTGATCCACACCCTGCGCTCCTCCTCCGGCAGCAGCACCCGCGAGCAGCCCTTGCAGATGCACTGCAGGATCTGCACCGTGTTCTTGAAGTAGCCGATGTGGAACACCGGCAGCTCCAACCGGATGTAGCCTTAGGGGGGGGGCGCGGGGAGGGGAGGGGAGGCAGGTGGGGGCCGGGCAGGAGGGAGGTTGAGAGTTCCGAACTTGGTCGACAATTCCCACTCCTGTCCGCCACTGCTGCCCCAAGCGGCACGTGCACTGGGCTCCGCCCCCGTCCACCCTTCCCGCCAGCCCAGAAGGCCCCAGCCCGGGGAGTTGGGGCACGATCTGAGTGCTGCATGCTGCGACCTTTCCCCACAGGGGGCGCATTCAACCCCAGCCACCCCTCTACCCGTGGGGGACATGCGACTGTGCTTCGTTTCTCACTTCTTCCCCCCTTCCCCCACACCCCAGCAAAGCGCCCTCACCGAAGTGCCCCGCGCAGTCCGCCAGCCGCTGCCCGCACGTCTCGCATGTGTAGTTCTTGTTGCTGATGCCCTGGAGTGGGGTAAAGAGGGGGGGAGAGGGGTTGGAAGAGCAGGCAAGGCGGAAAGCACCTATGAGGCCGCGGGGCATCAGCCTGTGGGGTACCGGCATGCTGGAAGCGCAGCCGGGTAAGGAGTGGCAGCCGGTGGTTGCTGAGGGGGCGCAGTAAGGAGCCCTCACACCACCAGGCCGCGACCCCACGCCGCGACAAAGCGGTGAGGAGTTGCGGCGCCTGCAAGGCCACCGTCGACCACCACGCAGACACGGCTGCCCATCCACGCAGGGGCGTTCCCGGCGCTGAGATCAGGTGTACGGCATGCGCCCTTTTGGGTGGATGGCGAGCCACTGCGGGGCCGCCCCTTGTGTACGGCAGGCAGCCCTTCCAGCCACAGGGTCCACCACTGCCCCCGCACAAACCACGGTAGCTGGTAGCATGGTCAGGGCTAGCATGAGCTGAGCTGGGCTGAGATGAGGTGACGTGGACAGGGCAGCGGCTCTCTGGCAGGCCAATAGGTGCTGTGGTGGTGCCCTCGGGATGGCATGGACCGCAGCCGCCCTCCCCAGAGGCGCTCAGACACCGCTGCCTCGCAACCCCGGCTGCATGCGCAGCCTGTGCTGTGCTTGCTGGTGGCCCCTGGCTCCGGTCGCAACCTAGTCGACCGCCGGCTGGGGGGATCGCGTTGCGCACATTCCTGCTGAGAGGGACCATGCTGCGTATGCTGCGGGCGTATGCTGCTACCAACACCTTGCGCCTGACTCGTCAGCGAAGCTGCACGCTGGTTTGGCTGCTCGCGCTGGGCATGGGTTTGGAGATCCAGTCCACGCCGGACTTCTCAGCTAGGGCCCAGTACAACATCCCCTTTTCAATTATAAACCCTTTCCGGGCGTCCGCTCCCAATCCCAGCAGCCGCAGGGGCACCAGCGGCGGCGGCACCTACCAGGCGGCGGTCCAGCACTCCGTTAGGGTGCGGCACGCGCTCCGGCATCTGAGGGAAGGAGGCATCAGGAGGGCGTGCAAGGTTGGGGACTGGGATGGTGTGGTATGGATGGAGGCATTGACAGAGCGTTGGTAGGGCGGAACCGATGCTACATGTCAGCGGTAGGATGGGCGCGACCCATAGGACAGCGCTGGGATGGGCCTGGCTCAGTATCGCTGCCATCGCGAAACAATTCGTTGCGTTCGAATCGCTAGTAACACTGCAGCCCAAGCGCAACTAAATGTCTGGTATGGTAACTTCCCTGACGTCGCATCGGAGATGCGTACCTTGTAAAGAGAACGCTCGTAGACCTGAAGAACGCCGCATTTGACTATCTCTTGCGGCGTCTGCAATCCGAAGCATATTTGCTGGCTGCACGCATAAGAAACGTGGGTAGTTCCATTAGCTGTTGGCCGCCGCCGGTTCAACGCTACTCCCTAGGCCCAGACCCTATTTACAATACCAACGCTTTCATATGATACAAAAAAGTGGATCGAAATCACATCGAGCGTGGCGATGCAAACTTCTTCCCCACGAGCGACTTACATCTTACGCGGCAGGTTCTGCTCTTTGTAAGGCTCCTTTGTGCAGACTAGGGGAGCCGGCTGCTCCTTTTTCTGCTCTACGTGCTTCATTCCTGCTCAGCTCCTCGCCCCTTCCTCCGTGCGAGGGCCCTTCCCCAAGCGGGGAAAGCTGTCTCCTGGCTACCAAGCAGCAGTAACCTAGTATTTATAGTAATGTTATTCGGAGAAACCACATGCTCTATAACAGCGAGCTTACAGATAAGAGTTCAGCGATGTCTGCGATGGCGATTAGTGTCTAAAGCAGTTAATTGATTTACTTTGTTCCGAAAACAGCTTTGGGTCCAGACAGTCCGGTCGATAAAAGAACTGTCAACAAAGTAAGCTAAGGAGGCCAACTCTCAGGTACTCACAGGCCGTGCCGTACAACCATGCCTGCATGCCGTACGTGAGCAAATCAACCAACCCGCGCGCACACGCGCCCTCAGTCATCTGTCTCCTTCCACTCCTCCCGCCCGTTGTGCGTCTGCAGGAACCGCGCTATGCTCGCGGACGCCGCTGGGCCCGCGTACAGCTGCTTGTGCTTGCCGGGCACCACGCCAGGGATGCGGCAGCGCGCCAGCATGTTGATGCGAGCCGGGCCCTCGGGCCTAGGGGAGGGAAGCAGCGGGAGGCAGATGGAGGTAGCAGAAGAAGCATCCGATGGACTGGTCAGTGCCCAGTAATGAAATGGAGAAGGGGCCTCCCTCCTCCACAGCCCCAACCACCGCCGCCACCTACCCCGTCCTGCTGTTTTCCCATGCTGCCTCTCAACCCCTTGTATCAGCACCCCCTGCTCCCTGCTCACCATTAGTACCTTGTCCTCCTCCTTCTTCCTTTGCCCCTGCCCCCCACCCCAGCCACAGCCCCCACCCCGCCCTGGTGAATTAGTGGCCGGCGGCGCGGCACATGCCTTACTAGTGTTCATATGCAAGGCGGCTTCTTCCCCAAGTCATCTCGGTTTCTGGTAAGCACTTGGTAAGTCCCTGAGATGCGTGTTTCTAGATTAGTGTCTCCGAATGCGCTCACTGCATGAGTCGGGATTCGGGATTGGGATTGCGTTGTTGCATTTATTTATAATTTTCACCCCGCCCTGGCCCTGGTGAAGCATCGTCATACAGTTCGTCACTCTCCGTATTTTACCCCACCCGGCTCTGGCAGTTAGTTACCGGTACCGGCAGCTCCCTCCTGCCCGGTCCCCACCCACCTGGCCCTCAGCGCCTCCATGAGCGCCCCCAGCGAGGGGTGCTCCGCCGCCACCGCCGCCGCCCGCTGCGGCGCCACCAGGCAGCTCAGCGCCTCACACAGCGCCAGCTGCTCGGGGCCGCCGCGCAGGGAGAGCTCCTCCTTGATGGCGCGCAGGGGGGCGGTGGACCTGAGGGGAGGGGCGGGAGAGGGGGAGTAAGGAGGAAGAGGGAGAGGGCGGCCGTGAAAGGAGCCTGGTGCGGATATGCGGGCGCAGGGAGCAGCAAAGCCCGCGATACCGGTAGTTCTATACACATCATCATGCCCCTCTGTCTCACCCGGTCGCAACCCCACTCCCTCCTCCCTCGTCTCTCCCATTGGGAATCCCTTGCTTCACTTCTCATTTACGTTCCTCCCTCCTCCTCCCCCCAGTCCCCTGCTCTCACCTGCTGCCGAACGTGTCCAGGTAGGCCGCCAGCCGCTTCCTGGGCTGCTGCGACAGCGTGTAGCCCAGGTTGAGGATGTCGGTGGCGGCGCGCACTAGGTCCGCCTCGGGGCAGTCGTACTGCAGCCTGGGAGGGGGGAGAGGAGGACCGGGGGACAGGGAGGCGGAGGCGAAGGAAGGCGCAAGGTAGTCGTAAGCAGCGTGTTGGCGGCGACTAAGCGGGCAGAGTCAGACTCTTCCTCCCTCTCCGCCCCGGGCGCTATCGACAGCACCCGGGTCCTGCCGTCTCTTGGCCCCCACCTGAGTGCCGGCATGCCCACCGCCACATCGAACAGCAGGTCCTCCAGGGCGGACCGGCTGAAGCTCTGGAGGTGAGGGCAGAAGGGGGAGAAGAGGACGCAGTGAGAGGATGGATGACGAAGGCGGGCAGTACGAGGGAAGAGGTTAGGTCTGACTGGACAGGAAAGGACGACCGTAAGAAGAAGCCCGCTTGGTATAAGCAGCGTCTTTCCAGCAAGCTGCATGCGTCATGGCTCCGTCCCATGCCCCCCTCCTCATCCCATCGTCCTAGGAGCATACACACGCCCCGGGACCCGGCGCACCTTGTTCGCCCGCTCCCTCCTCCGCAGCGCCTCCTCCAGCCCCACCACGTACACCACCACCGAGCACGAGGGGTGCTCCCGCCGTACATCGCCGTACAGCGCCGCCAGGGGTGCCGTACTGTCGGCCTCCAGCAGCCGCAGCAGCTCGTCGCCGGACAGCGCCAGCACCAGCAGCGGGAACAGCACAAGGGGCTGCAGAGGAGGGGAGGAACGGGGTGGCGGGCGCTTGGGAGGGATTCCGGAGGGGAGGTGGAAAGCCTGGGAAGCAGAGTGTTACTGTAGGCAGCTATCCTAGCCGTGATGTGCCTACTCAGGCTCTTTCCCTTCCTGGCTCAAAACAATTCTTCAGCTGCTGTTCTGCCTTTTTGCTCGAGGTCCTCGCCCGCTCCTGTCGCTCCTCTCGACGCATTCCCATAGCACCCTGCGTCCCTGCCCCCCCCCTCTCCCCGCTCCTCTGCTCCTCACCAGCCCAGTCCCCGCGGGGTCCCCCAGGCTGCTTCCCTCCAGCGCGCACCCCTCCGCCGCCAGCAGCCGCGCAGCAGCGGGGGCAGGCAGCCTCAAACCCCACATGCAGTACCTGGGGGCGATGGGGTAGGGCACAGCGAAGCGGGAAGGCACAAAAGAGGAAGAAAGGAGTGGGGCGGGGCGGGGAGTAGATGGACGGCCTATGGCTGCCGGAGTGGTGAGTGTGCACACGTGCTGTATTGCTTCGACAAAGGACAAGAAAAAGGTGTATACAGCCCAGCATACGGGCAACACATCCCAGCAATCAAGTCCCCCCTAGCCCCACCTGTACCTCCCCGCCAGCGGCAGGTCCCGGTGCACCTCCTGCGCGAAGTTCTGGTCGCGCGCGCCGCCGCGTGCCAGCGGCCCCTGCTCCACCAGCGCTGCGCCCAGCGGGCTGGCGGCCAGCGAGTTGCTGAGCAGCAGCCGCATGTGGCGGCCCACCATGGTGACCTTCAGGGAGCTGGCGGGGGGGGGGGGTCAAAGACCATAGCATACCATAGGAAGCCACAGGTTAGGGCAAAGCAAAGGGGTTAGGAGGCGGCAGGGTGGCAGCTGGAGCTGGAGCTGGGGGACGGGGAATAGGGAGCGGAAGGGGAGAGGATGATGGGTTGGGGCCGAATGCTGGTGGGTTGGGAACATGTGGCTGGAAGGATGTGTCAGCCGTAGGATTTCTGGGCGGCTCTGCCATCGCGGCACGTGCATGCACTGCCACTCACTTGTCCGCCTCCTTCTGCGCCTTCACCGCGCCCTTGGCGGCCGCCTTGGAGCGCTTCTGCTCCTCCTGGGAGGGGTGACGCAGAAGTGGAAGCAAAGCGAGGGCGGAAGGTTGGCAGGAAACTTGGCGGGACTGGGCGAGCACGGTGCAGTGAGCCGGGAGTAGAGGAGGCCTAGGGCTCATGTCCATGTGGGTCAGGAGGTGGAGCCCTTGTGTGACAAAGAACTGGCTGCCCCCGGCTCATTCTCCCTCCATCCGCCCCCCGCAGCGCGTCTTCCCCGCCCTGCGGCTGTCCCGAGGCTCTCACCTTCTCCGCCGCCTTGCGCTCCTTCTCCGCCGCCTTCTGCGCCGCCTTCTCCTCCCGTGCCCGCACCCGCTCCGCCGCCTTCTGCTGCTTGGCGCGCTCCCGCTCCTCCCGCTCCTCCGCCGTCAGCCGCTTGCCGCCGCCCTGCGTGCAGTAGGTCCACATGCGGCCATGCGCCGATGCCGTCAGGACGCCTTCCATGCGCGGCTTGGCAGCAAGTAATGGAACGGCAAGGCATGCATGTGTTGTAGGGTACACGGTCCATGCCGAGGACGTCTCACAGACATGCGCCTTTGTGGGCCCTCGTAGCCTGCAATGCCGCATGCATCACACCCCTGTATGGCATCCACAGCCATCAGCGCACGGTACTGACCCAGATGGCGCCATTACACGCTTGCACCCTCCCACTCATGCTGCTCCGCCTGCCCGCGCACTCCCGACCACCCACCCCGCGCCTCTTCTTGGGTTCTGCCTCCGCCTCTGCGTCCGCATCCGTATCTTCGCTGCCGCCTGGACTGCTGCCGCCCGCACCTCTACCCGCCGCTGCTGCTACCGCCTGCTGCGAGGCAGGCACCTGCTTCTTCCGCCCCGAGGCCCCGCTGCGCTTGCGCCCGCCCCTGCCTCCATCTTCCTCGTCCGAGTCCTCGCCGTTCCAGTCGGGGTCGTCGTCATCATAGCCGCCACCTCCGCCACCGCTGCCGTAGCCGTCGCGCCGCCGTGACGCGCTGCGGGGAGCTGCGTTCCCGACATCTAAGTCTCGTAGCCCGCCTAAATGGCCGGCGCGATCATCGTCATGGCGCCCTACAGCGGCGCCCCAGTCCTCATCAGCACCGGCGCCGGTTGTTCCTAGACCGGGCAGGGCTTTATCGTAACCGCAATCTTCGTTGCCGTCGTCGTTATCGCTAAAGACGTGGAGGTTCGAAGCGGGAGCTGCGTTGCGTGGCTGCTGTTGCTGTGGCTGAGTGGTGGGCACCTGGGTGGAGGCGCCAGCACCGTTCTCTGCTCGGTAGGCTCTAGCGGCAGGAGCCGCTTTTGCAGTCGCTTGTTTTACCTGGGCATCCGCAGGTTGATTGAGGTTGACAACAGCAAGCGGTTGAGCCTGTGGTGCAGCTGTCGTAGTCGGAGTGTAGCAACAGGCAGGGCACGAGCAATTGTGAGGCAAGTGCGGAGCTGTGGCCAGAAATGTTGATCTCCGATGTTTACATACAGAACTCAAAAGAGGGAAGGCACACTCCCTTGGGCGGGATCATAGCACTTGGGCTATGATCCCGCCCAAGGGCGCAGGTACAGTAGTTGGTTCACCACTTGCAACTTGAGCAGCTTACCACGAAGGCGCTTGCGCGGTGTTTCGTCTTCACTCGATAGCGTCAAGTCGATCATTGTTACTCCTACAGTACTTGGTGGCTTGAATTGCTCGCCAATAAGGATGAAACGGGTATGACAGCTATTACATCAAGGCTGGTTTTCATGTAAAATTATAACCTGATTGTAAGCATAGTATGGAGATAAACATATTAGACTTACTGCAAATTTCATGGGGGCTCTCATGTGCCGCGGATTTGGTAGGTTCGCTCAAACCAGATAAACCGCATCTAGGTGCTTCTTTGCAAAAATGAACGTGTACACGAGCTTCAATTAAAACATGAAATTCTAAAGTACTTCATGAGTCTGCGGCAAATAACCAAAAATGTGTGCACGCCTCGTGGCTTGGTGCTGCCCGTGCCTAGACGTCGAAGACACCGTAGTACCACAATCGGCACTTGAACCATTAGTACAGGCTAGAAGCGGGCCTTCTCCCATTGGCAGCGTCAGCGGCCCGCCCGGCGCTCTAGAACAAAATGTATACTGCATGAGGCACGGCCACCGACAGGACGAAGAGGATGATTGCTGGCATTTAAGTGCAGCACGACCATGGTATGTGGCTTCCTCGCCAAAATGCCTCGCTTGGCCTGCTGTGGCCTCGTAGCGAATAAGGCTTGGAGCAGCGTTAATCTTTTTCCATATTGTACAGGGATCCTCCGCTTTCGGCAAAAGGGCGGCAGCAGGTGCGCACGGGCAGGGCTACGCTTACTCCTGCAACGCGATAATGGTTAATGGTTCCACGGGCGACGCCAGCGTTGGCGCTCCGTGCGGCCCTCTTACTCGATGCAAATACGGCTTATGTTGCTTCAACGGTGATTGCTTCAACTTGCTTTCGACAAGCTGTCGAAACCGAATGCACCGAATGCACTGCCCGTATGGAATATATTCAGTGAAGGCACAGCGCTCACACAGCCGCACATCCAACATGTACGCATGTCGCTTTGCTCATCGGCTCCGCGACCTGTCTTCTCCCGTGCCCCCGTCGTTTCGCACTCCTAAGGCTCGTGAGGCCGCCGCTCAATTCAAGTCTAAAAACATCGACTACGTCCTGACGTCGCCGTTCGTGCGCTGCTTACAAACCAGCGCGGAGATTGTGGATGAGCTTGGGTTAGCGCAGGGCAGGTGGCTCGTCCTGTGGCCCATGTGTGAGGTAGGAACGGGCACTAGGACAAACTGGGGTTTCCCCTAAGTGCCTTTTTTCAGGTCTGCATGGTGTACCTCCGCACCGTGCCGCAGGCTCATAAAAGCTTTGGCCCCTGTCCCTTCCTTGATCACCGTGCTCCCTCTAAACTCGTCCTTCCTCCTTTACCCTGCACACCGTTCCCCGCCGCAGCTGTGTGACCCCCGGTTGCTGCTAGCGGGACGTGAGGATCTGCGACCCGCGCTGGGCCGGAGACCCATCCGGGACTGGATGTGGGACGGGCAGACCTTTGAGCAAGCGCTAGGAGGGCTGCTGGCACCGGGTAAGGAGACACTGAGAAGGGTTACGGGCAGTGCACGGTTTGCAGCGGGGCCGCCTCTTACCTACTGTACGGCGCCTGTTGTCGTACTCGCAGAGCTGGCGTACAGCGGGGTGCGCATCCGGCCGGAGATGTGGAACGACTCGGCGCCGTCCTACCCGGAGAAGATCGAGCATGCGCTCAAGCGCTACGAGAAGCAGATCCGCTCGGTGTGCAAGGAGTTCGCGGGGCGCAACGTGCTGGTGGTCACACATGGGGAGGTACGGGTGTACGACGTGGGTGGGGTGTACGGACAGGAGCCAAAGGTCTGTGAGGGGGCTGCTGCTAGGGCTACAAGCCTAGAACGAAGACGCTGTAGCACGTAGCTTCGGTTCATCACGTCGGCTTGCCGTGTGGCAAGGCTACGCATATCGTGTTCGCCGAAGCGGGAGGTTACCCGGCGCTGTCCCCTCATGCACACCCCACCCACATGCTCGGCCCCCTGCCCGGCCCGCATGCAGGCGCTCCGTGCGGCAGTCAACATGTACGACAGCCGCGCTGCCGTGTACGAGGTGAAGCACACGGGGCACGTGCCGCTGTCGCGCTCCCGCAACCCCAACGGCACGTGGGGTCCCTGGAGCCTGTGCTGCACCTCGGGGCAGACCGGGGTGCTGTGGTCATACGCCTAGGCAGCAGCAGCCGCTCGGCAGGGCAGCAGCGGCGCTAGCTGCAGGAGGAGGAGTAGGAGCAGCAGCGGCAGCAGTAGCACTGAAGCCGGAGCAGCAGCAGCAGTGGGCCGCTTTTTTGCAGTGGCGGATGCATGGCGGATTGCGCGGGAGCGCTCTGGGCTCCGCTCCTATCTGCGGGTCCGCCCTAGCTCCTATAGCAACATATAGCTCTTCAGTAATTACTTTAGGTGCACTCCTTAGAGGTCGACGTGGCCAGTAGAGCATTGTAGTAACAGCGGTGTACAGTTTGCTGCTGGCTTACGTTGGTGAAGCCTCTTAGCTACTCGCCGGGGGCTGCAGGGGGCCGGGGGTTGCCGTGCAATGCTACTTGCTGGCCTTGTGGCGGAGCCCTGGCGGTGGGGAGGGCTGCGCGCAGTGCGAGAGCTGGAGGGCCTTAGGCCGCGTCCCTGGGAAACGAATGGAGGAATCAAACGTGGCCTAGCATGCGCGATTGCTTGCATGCGCCATGCACGGGGTCTCGCGGGGCATGGGCTTCTGAACCCCGGTATGTTCCACATGCATTGCACGCATCACCAGCCTTGGCTGTTGTCCCTGGCATGACCCAAGGCGCACGGCGACTAGTAGCGATGATGGGAGTGTGTACGGCGCGGCAATGTGAGGTCTTCGGCGGTCCCCTCTCTCATCATGACACATTGCATGCGCTCATGGTGGCTAGTCTGTCTACTTAGTACATTTTCGCATCGTCCGGAATGAACGAAGCGGTGTTGGGGCTACCGTTTGGCTGCTGATGTTCCTCTGACGGCAAGTGCAGTGGAAGCGGGCTGCCCTTCCCTCCGCTTTTGCGATATGTGTCCTCTTGCAGTGGCTGCGCATGGTCATCCCGGGAAAAGCGGCTTTGCGTGCCAACTTGTGGTACCGGTGCTTGTCGTATCGGCTGCTGGCAAATCCTTTGCGCTGGCGTGGTTATGGTCTCTGGCGTCGCCTGGTCGCTTGGGGCTGCTTGTTTTGCCCTGCATTAGCCCGGGCTTGCATGCCCTTTTGCGAATGCACTTTCCTTTTGATATGCGGCATGTATCCACTTGTCTAGGCGTAGCAGTCCTCTGGATGCTTTCTTGATCCATGGCGCGTGTATGCATGCCGTGCGCTCAGTTGGAACCCCTCCTGTCGCCCTGCTATGTTGTGGCGTTTGGGCCTTCTAGTCGATGCTATGGAAGGGGAGCTGCCCTTGCATGGGCAGCTGGGTGGGATCGGAAAGAAACCAATCCGGTTAGAGAACCGTTGGGGCGCTCTTGTGCTTGGGAGGAGGAGCCGTCCAACGTTGACAATGGGCGGCAGTGGTGGGCAGTGAGGCGTGTTAGTGTTATGGTATAATGCGTTATACTCTTTATGGTTGTGAGACGCGCGCGCGGTAATATATGTGTGGTCCTTGGCGGCTGGTAAGAGGGTGTTGGCGGCGTTTCTGCATCCTTTCCTTATTAAGACGGCGGGTTGACCACATTGCGGCACAGCAGCAGCTGCAACGGCGGTGTATCGGCACGGTGTATTTGGATGAACGATGATCTAGCTGTATAGTTACTACAATCTGATGCGACCGGGGGTCAGGGGTTATTACTCTATGTTAACGGTATGCAACGCTGGCGCAGCATTCCGCATGCTGCATGCGTCCTGGCGAGGGATGGGAGACGTTGGCAAAGGTGCATGACCAGCATAACGCCTTGCCGTGAGGCATGGCGCTCCAGGCCTTTGTCCTTACCCGCGCATCCGTGCTTAAACCTCCGGGCTGGCGGCTGTTTGGGTGTGATGGTGGTGGTGGCTTTGTTTGGATTTATGGTGCTATTTGTTAATGGGTTGAGGAGTGAGAGACCCAACTCTGAAGCGGGGAATCGCCTTTTGAGTGCCATTGGGTGGGATTGACACTACGGTATGCGTGCACAGACGGAATACACTATACGCTACATTCGTTGTTTATCTGTTGCACAATCCTCCTAATTAAGACGCAACCCCAACCCCATGCCCAATAAGAGACTGCATGTGATTGGCGCCGTATGGTACGTGCTGTAGGGGATTGGGGCTGGTGTGTGGCTGTGGCAGTGTTCGAAGCTATCTGCTGCCTTCGTCTAACCCTGTGGTTTGCATGGCCTACTCCATTATCCTGCATGGCCTACCACTCCATTATGCCGCATGGGTGCTTGTGGCCACACTTGAAGAACCGTGGGGCTACAGGGAGGGAGCTGCACCGGCGGCACATTGCCTCATGACAACCCGGCACATACCCCGATGGTTAGTAGCTCCGGGCCGCCTGATGCTGCCCGGGATTTCTCGCGATGTACACGTTCGTGTGTGTTTCACGCGGCTCCTTGGGACGCCCCACCGTCCTACCTTCTAGGGCCGGGTGGATTTGGAGGGGCGCAACCGCTCAAGGTACCTGAGGTCTGAGGTGCTGAGCATGGGGTATGGGGGAAGCTGCCAGCTGGTGGTTTCGGCGTTTTGTGGCCTTGTATCCTCGCTTCGGTGTGTTATCCAAGGCATGATGAGGTGGCATGTGGGTGGGTTCCTAGCCATGCTGCGCATTGTGTTGCACATGCTATTTGTTGGCCGGCAGGGCTGGTGTGTCTTGCGCAGGATTAGTATTTGGTATAACGCGACGCGATAGTTCATCCATTTGGGAGTGATCCTAACCTGACTGATGTCTTTTCGTACTTCTGTATCGTAATTTACCCGACAAAAAAACACTATATACACGTGCTGCAAAACTCTATAATGCCGTGAAAACATTATATCAAGTAAGTTCCTTTCCTGTCGAATACCTGTGCTACATTGACTTCGAAGTAACCACTTGGAATTTGCTGTAAACGGTCTTCCACCCTGACGAATCCTTACATACCTGCACCGCACATACACCGCTCGGCGAGTGACGGAAAGAGGCCCCAGCCGTTTCCGGGTGGGGGAAACGATGGAGGGACCCATGGACCCTTTTGCCATTGCACCATCAGTGGGGTAGAAGGGAAGCATTAAATTACAAGGGTAACGACGACCGGCGGTAAAGATACCCCTGGGGATGTGGACATGTACAAGAACCTACAATCCGACCGGTGCCGCGGGGGATACCACTCCTGGCAACTCCCCCATACCTAAGCAACCCAACCCCATCTCAATTGTACAACAACGGAGCGCAGAGAATGGAACCACAACAGCATACACAACGCTGTCCGCTACACTCATGCACGCAAGTGTTATTAACCAAAGAATTACAACATGCGCAACGCGGACACATCGGGCACGTTTGGCCCGTACGACGGTTTGCAAATCCCGTCCCCCACTCGTACATTAACATTCCGTACAAGCGCTTGCTTGCCGTACACAATCCCCCCCTGCCGCGGAGGGAAGCCACTGTGTCAATACACACCCGGCCGCCACACTTTGGCACGCACACACCCCTCACCCACACTATCCGACAACGTCTCTGCGTTATGAGCTCATGACAACACACTACCATACACAACAATTTCCTTTACGCCGGCTGCAACGAGACCTGCCTGCGATCATGCACCCCCCCCCACACACACACCTCCGCATGTGCACATGCGTGCAGCAACAACCTCCTTACGCGTGCAATACCACACAACAACGCATGCTGGCATCTTGAGCATTGGGCCATCTTCCATTCTTCTTCTTTTTTGCCTCTTTAACCCCTCCACCTCCTCCTCCTCCTCCTCCTCCTCAGTGCGCCGCCGCATGACCCGGCTTGCGACTGTTTGCCGCCGCCACCCGGCTGCCCCACTCCAGCAGCTCCTTGCTGCAGTCGTCGCGGTGCGTGACCACCATGATGAAGCACAGCTGGCCGCGCCGCTGGGTGGCCTCGCTGATGGCGGCCACCAGCTCGGGCTCCGTTCGGGCCTGGGGGGAGTGGGGGGGTTAATATGGAAACAGAATCCGCATTAGGCTGGATAGTTGGGTTAGCGTATAATTGTAGTTGTTGTATAGTTAGTAGCATCAATCAGTAACAAACCGTATTGTAAGCTCCGTGGCGGCTGGGGTGATCTGAGATCACTCTGCATTGGCGAATAAAAGGCGGCTGCTACTGTGATAACTGGCTCCACTGCGCTAGACCTGATGTCTGTGCTGCAATGCTGTCAGCAGCATAACGTATGTAAGCTCCGCTGCTTAGCTGGGGCTGTCATGCGGCTGTGTGCACCAAAGCATCCCACCCTGCCCGACCCCCCCCTCGGAGTGGGGGGGGGGGTGAAGGTGGGAGGGAGAGGTGAGGAAAGGGGAGCGGGAGGATGATTGGTGGTTCCGATGGAGGGCCGTGCGTCCTGCCGCCATCGTCTGGTTCCACACAAGGACAACCTACGCCTACGGAACGTTGGTTGTCGTTCCGTAGATGATGTTCTTTTATGTTCCCCCTTTTCCCTGTCAGGGCTGTCACCACGTCCGCCCCCGCCTCACCTCCGCCGTCCACAGCTTGCCCTCCCCGTTCTGGAAGGACCGCACCAGCCCCGTGTAGTCCCAGTTCTTGATGATGTTGTAGGGGCTGGGGGGGCCGTGGTTGGTTGGGAAGGTGGTTGGTGAGGTGGTTGGGATGGTTAGCAAAAAAGGAAGGATAGGAGGGAGCGTATGCACGCGCAGTGCCAGCTGCATGCCGCATGAGAAACGGTACGCAAAGACGGTCATACTTAAGATGACTGGCAGGAGAGGCGACCGAGGCGCTCAACACCTCCCAACCCCAACCCCCAACCCCACCCCGCCTCCTCTCCCCCCGCCCCCCGTCCCACCCGTCGTGGATCTCCACCTCGATGGTGTAGCCCCCGTTGTTGATGAGGAAGATGATGGGGTCCAGCCCGTAGCGCAGCATGGTGCTCACCTCCTGCAGGGGGGCCAAAGACCATACCAAACCATAGGAGACCACAGGTTAGGGCAAAGCAATGGGGGGAGGGAGGGAGAGGAGAGACGGGCGAGCATGGGCGTGTTTAAAGATATGCGAGATAACATCATAACATACAAGATACGCGTACGCGACGCTGCCAGCAGTGCAAGTAACGGTATGTCACAACAAGTGCCGGTTGTCCGCAGGCATGTGCCAGCATGCATCCTCCCTCAGCACCTTGTCATGCGGTTAGTGTGTTCCTTCCCTCTGTTACCCCCAGACCTGTGCTTGGCATTAACCTGTGGTTCTGGTATGCCTTTGACCCCACCACCACCACCACCGACCTCCCCCCCACCTGCGCCGTCATCTGGAAGCTGCCGTCCCCGATGCACGCGAGCACCCGCCGGTCCGGGTGGCTCTGCCGCTCCGCGCAGCAGTAGCCCAGCACCGCACCCACACTCCAGCCGATGGAGCCGTACCGCATCTGCAGCTCGTACCTGGGGGGGAGGAGGAGGGGGGAGGGAGAGGCGGGTGGGGGATTGGGGGGTTAAAATATAGACCAAACCATAGGAAAGGGTCGGGTGAGGGGTTAGGAAAACACAAGTGGCCATCCCTAGACAACACGAGTGCATGCGACAACCCGACCCTCCTTCCCTCCTCCCCTGGACCAGCCCCCCCCCCGACCCCCCCCGGCCGGCTACCATGTTTGCACCCCATGGTGAAGCCTTGTCATACAGCTCGTCAGTTGCTTCGTCAGTGTCTTACATATATTTTTTACCCGACCCCCCCCCCCCCCGCCCACTCACTCGCAGCCGGGCGGCAGCCTGAGCTTGAGCGTGTTGAACCAGGAGTCGCCCACCTCGGAGATGAGGGAGGTGGTGGGGGTCAGCATGTGCTGTTGTTGCGGGGGGGTGGGTGGGTGGGAGGGCAGGGGAGCGGGAGGGCAGGGGAGCAGCAGTTGTGAGGAAAGGCGGCGGCAATGGAGGAGCTACAAACACGTGGCCATAAAACCGGGACGCAGCGGCACACCATCTAACTCGCGTGGCGGGCGGGGCACTACCTCTGTTGTGTGCTCCCGCGGGTGGTTGCGATGATGGCGGCCACCCTGACCGGATACCCCCCACCCCTGCGCTTCCGTCCCGATATGGGCCCTGCATGCCACGCTTTTTCGGAGTACTGATACTGGCATAAACAAGCCCTTCCCGCTCCTGCCTCCCTCCCCACCCCGGCCCCCCCTCTCACCTGGATGTGTTTGAACAGCACGTTGGTTCGCAGCATCTCCTTCTCGCCCTGCGGCGGCGGCTCGGTGGGCGGCAGGGCCATGCGCTTGTAGATGACCAGACCTGCAGGGGGGGAGGGGAGGGAGGAGGGGCAGGAAGGGAGAGGGTCGGGAACAGGGAGAGGGGAAGGAAGGGGACGGTACCCCCCTCCCTACCCGTCAGTTCGACAGCTTCCTTAATCCCCCCTCTCCCCCCACCCGTGTCATTGGGCGCCACCCTGCGCGCCAGAGCCTCCATGAAGTCCGCCATCACGATGCAGCCGAAGGTGGGGCCGCTGCCCAGGGTGACGCGGTTGTTGTCCACTCGGATCATCTGGGGGGGGCCGGGGTCAGGGGTGGAGGGGTGGGTGGGGGGCGGGGGTGGGGAGTTGGGGTGATGTTGGAACCCCTGCAACATGCTGATGGGGCACATTGCTGCGCGGCTCCATTACGGTGTTATAACACGGGTGGAGTGTTGCTGCTCCTAGAAAGGGCGGCCTGGTGTGCCTGCAGCCCCCAATCGACTCCAGCCCCAGCTCCCCCCCTCCCGCTGCCCCCTCACCTTCTCCGGCTTCAGCAGCAGCGAGTAGCCGGCGGTGGAGTAGTCCGTCCACACTGGGGCGGGAGGAGGGGTGGCAAGGGGGCGGGGGGGGAGGAGGGGCCAGGGTGTGTGTGTATGTAATTAGAATGTGTTGAGAGGCGCGGAGGAAAAGAAGGATAGGCAACGATGGACATGCGAGGACGCGGAAGCAGGACTTCTCCGCCTCTGAGAAAAAAACACACGTTCCCGCGCCCCACCCCGCCCCGCCCCCTCACCTCCCCCCACGCACAGCACCACGTCGCTGCTCTCCACCACCTCGCACACACAGGGGGAGCTGACCGGACCCCAGTACATGCCCATGTACCTGGCAGGGGGGGGAGGTGGGGGGGAGGTGGGGGGGAGGTGGGGGGGAGGGAGGGGGTCAAAGGCATACCAAACCATAGGCAACCACAGCAGAGGTCGCAGCAGCGCAGCGGGCTGAGAGGCACCTCTGCACGGAGGTGTGAGAGCACCGCGGAAGACCGCAGGAGATGAGCAGGACTCGCAGCAGGCACGTCAAGCCGTAAGAAAAGCGTGCACCTTCCTTGCACCTCCCCTCCCCCCCTTGCCCTCTCACTGCGGGTGGTCCTCGGGGAACATGCCCTTGGCGTCCGGCATGGTGGCCACCGGGTAGCGGGTGGCGGCGGCCAGGGAGAGCAGCGCGGAGCGGGTGCGGGCGGGGCGGGTGCGAACACCTGGGGGTGGGGAGGGGAGGGGGATGGATGGGTCGGCAGGAGGGAAGAGGGCAGTCCTGGCTACTATACCCTATTTGTATACCTATACCGGTAGCCTCTCTGCCCTCCTTAAAGCAAAAGTCTACCAAGCAAAGGGCCGGCCCATCCATTCCAGAGCCAAGCATGAAAAACACCTCCCCGCCCCCCTCTCCCCGGTCAGTTAGATGTTTCCTCTTTACCCCTCTCCCCCTCACCCGCCAGCAGCACCGGCTTCACCGCCCGCCCCAGCCACTCCACGCTCGCCTCCACCGCAGCCTCCAGGGAGGCGGTGTTGGTGTGGCTGGTGGCCAGCGCGTACGGCACGGGGGGGCGCGCGAAGCTGGGGTGCGTCAGGTCGGCCAGGTTGCCTGGGGGCGGGGAGAAGGGAGGCGGGGGAGGTGGGGGGCAGTACGATGTCAGGAACCCGGGGAACGGTTGGCAGGAATGAATGGGAAACCTGAAAAACGGATCTTATGTGGCAACGAAAGCACACACGTCAACGTCCTCCGACAATCCAGTACCTTCCTACTCGCGGCCAGTTTCCTTAACACGCACGCTCTCCCTCCCCCCCCACTCACACGCCACCTCGATGTACACCGGCTTCCTGCGCAGCATGGCCTCGCTGATGGCGCTGTCCAGCAGCATGTGCGCGTCCTCGATGTGCTGGATGACGACCTGGGGAAGGGGGCGAGCGGGGGGGAGGGGGAGGGAGTCAGGGGGTGGAAAACACATGAAATACACACACGCACACGAGCGTGTTTTCACACCACACATGCCACATCCACCCCCTCTTCCGCCAGTTCGTCACAACAGCACAGGACTACCACACAAAGCAAAACCCTTCCCGCCCCCGCCCCGCCCCCGCCCCCGCGCCTTCCCCATTCTCAATCAGCACATTGTGCATCCTTCGTTTCCCCGCCCCCGCCCCCCCCTGCCCACCTGCGCGCACGTGACCTCCCTGAACGCCCTCAGCTGCTGTCCGTAGTCGTTGTGTCCGGTTGTGTGGTGCAGCACCCGGTTGCTTGCGTGGTCGCCGCTGTTGGGGCCGCCGCTGATGACGATGAGCGGCAGGTCCTCGCTGTAAGCGCCAGCGACCGCGTTGAGGGCGCTGAAGCCTGGCGGGGGGGGGGGCGAAGGCGAGTGGAGGTGGGTGGAGGTGGAGGAGGTGGAGGGAGGAAATGAAGGAAAAGCGAAGGAGTTCTCCGTACCTCCAGCTCTACCCCGACACCACTGGACTGGTAGGAGAAGTATACTAAAACACACTCCATTCAATCACCCAGTGCACCCCTCCCTCCCCGCCCCCTCCCCTAGTCACCGTAGTTGGTTTTCTCATTCCTCCAACACCCCCCCCCACACACACACACAACCCCACCCTCCCACCCCTCTGCCCCTCCCACCTCCCACACAGAAGGTGACGCACACGCAGCCCACGCCCCGCTTGCGTGCGTATCCGTCCGCCGCATATCCCGCGTTCAGCTCGTTGCAGCACCACACGCACTCCAGCTCCGGGTGCTTCAGCAGCTGGTCCAGCAGCAGCAGGTTGAAGTCGCCTGGGGGGGAGGAGGGGGGGGGGAGGGCGCGAAACTTGTTCGTGAAACCAAAACTTGTTTGTGAAACCAAAACTTGTTCGTGAAACCAAAACTTGTTTGTGAAACCAAAGCAAGTCTACTAGGAGGATGGTGGGCACGCCCGCCAGCTTCAGCTACGAGCGCCCCGTTGTGACATATTAACGCAGACGCCTCCCCATCCTCCCCGCCTGGCGTCCCAACCATAGCTCCCTGCTCCCATTCCTCCCCCCTCTCCAGCTCTTCCCGCACCTCCCAACCGAGCCCCCTTCCCGCCCCGCCCCCCATCACTACCCGGCACAGCGAAGCAGGTGGTGCAGCCGATCTCCACCAGTCGGTTAGCGATGTGAACACCTGAGGAGGGGGGGCCGGCGGTGGGGAGATGTAAGCTGCAGATGTAAGCAGGCGGGATGGAATAGCGAATGCGGGCTTCAAAGGAGGTAAGGGAACGGGAGGCGGCAGAATTGTGGCGACATGCAGGTTGGGAAATCGCTGCGATGAGCATTTTGTGGTTTCCTAGGTCTGCCAAAAAGTGGATTGAAGTCAAGGTAGCCTAGTTAAGTGCCAAACGGCCATTGGCGTGCGTTGTTGACAAATTAAAGGAGGCCTACTGTTGAAGATAGTACGTGACAAGTGTCAGCGGGAACTGCGGGCTCGGTCTCTCGTGGGCTCTCGTGGCTTAACGAGATGGCATGCACCCACGAATATTATGTTCCTCACTATTCCACGCCCAAGGCCCAGATCTACCAGATATCAATCAATGCCAAGCGCCATTGGACAAGGGCATTGTTCATCGTCGCGTTAATTGGAAGACCGCTTCTAAAGATGTTGCGCGAAAGTGCGCTCTTCACCGCAGTCGCAGATTTGCCCCCCATTCGGCGATGCGATGTACGCACCTAGGTTAGCATCTGGAGTGGCCAATGGGGCCTTGATCGTTGCAGAAGTCGGGCGAACAGGTGCATCCACCTGGCCCGTCGGGGTGCCCACAGAATCGCTGCCGTCGCTCATTTCTACAAACCAAAACAAACGGATAAAAGGAAAAGGTACCGGATAGGCACTCTAAGCGATAATGTGCAAAGGGGAAGGAATGCATAATACAAGCAGTACACCGTGATGCCGAGCGCTTGATGACGCATTTACTCGCAATGAAGTTAATCTTCCCGGACATAACAATACAAACTGTTTTGTGTAACCCGTATCGTGACGCAATACATGCGGCGTTCAGTGCAACTTTAGAGGGCTTGGACTCCTGACGTGAACAATGCAGTCATTTGGAATTTACCGGCAGCACCCACTCCTTGCGGCACAGTCTTAAAGATGCGTTTAGCGTATGGGGCTTCGCTCAGAGTGGGGCTCGTGCTTCAATGGGTGTTGCGGATTCAAGCATGGGATACACAGGGGTTTGACAAGTTTACCTTGCATACCTCATTTGGCATTCGAAATTCATAAAGCAATGGGCTCGCATGTGTGATTACCTTGCATCTTCCAGCTTCGGTTGGGGCACCAACAGTACGGGCTTATTACATTAGGTTAGCCACTTACCTTGTCGCTAAGTCTTCGTTGCTTACCACACACCACTTGTGACTTTTATCAGGTCCATAGTGCGAATTGAGACGAGGAATGTGAACTTGACTGGTGCTTCTGTTAACCGTCTGTCCTCTTTTCTGCTGCTGGAGGATCAGAAAGAACAGACAAGATGGGAATTGCTTGCGTTGCTTTTATAGGGCCACAGGTCCGCTCTGAGAAGAGGATGCTATCCTTTGTCCTTGGGAGAGCATACGTTTACCCCCCATTGGTCTTCCCATTCAGAACAATCCATTATACCTTAGAAGCATGGACCCGGCCTCTGATGAACAATACTTGAAATTACACTACGTCGTGCATTGTGCGCTGGATGCTGTGGAGGAGAAAGGTGCGCGTCCCACCTGGAATGCTGCATTCATCGAGCAAGGGGTTTGTAACATCATCCTTCCGTGTACGCTCGAGGCCTCGCCAGGGTAGCCTCGTAGCTGTCCGAGACTGCCAGCATCCCCCCTCCATGCTGCCGCAGTGCTCTTGAAGCGCGGTCCTGGCGACGCGCAGGATGCATATCTGGGGCTTCTATACCCCACTGAGGACTTCAAAGTATACGGGTGAGGGGCGGGGTGGGAGCTATCGGGGTTGCTGCCAGCCCCAGATAGGGCAGCACCAGGGGGAATCTCACACTGCCGCCTCCGCCCTTACCGCTCCCCCTCGCAAAGGGAGCTACCTGCTAGACGCCTGTGCTCCACAGCTTGCTTCTCCATTTCCCTTCCCCTCCGCCCTGCCCCGACGTTCTATCCCTGCGCGACCCCACCCTTCTTCTCCCTCCCCCCCTCCTCCCCTTTCCAACCCCCCTTCCTCCCCTCCTCCCCTCCTCCCCAGCTACCTGACCAACACGCACCTCAAGATCCTGCTGCTGCTGGACGACGAGGGGCCGGCCAAGGACGAGGTGGTCATGCGGGTGGGTGGGCGGGTGGGTGGACGGGAGCTGGGGGAGGGTGGGGTGCGGGATTCGGGGGTTGGGGGCACTGGGGTTTGTGGGATCCCATCGTCGTGAAGGGCGTCGTGCCCGGGGTGGCTGACTGCTGGGCTGTGCTCGGCTTGGCTGGACAAGCTGTTCATTCTCCCACCACTCGCCTACTGTACCCTGGGTTGCCCTGATCCCTAAAGCTGGTAGACCTCACCCACCCGCCCACCTCCACACGCGCCATCCTCGCCTCACCCTCCACCCCTCTCTCCCGCACCCCCTCCTATGACACCCTGTCACACAGCCAGTTACTTGTTTCCTCTCCCCCCTTCCACCCAACAGGTGTTCCGGCGGCTGCACTCGCTGTACGTGGACACCGCCTCCAACCCCTTCCACGTCTTCGGACTGCCCATCAGCTCGGCCCGCTTCGACGTGCAGCTGGAGCAGATCGTGGCGGTCTACCCCAAGCCGGGAGCCTCGCTGGGGGGCTTCCTCACGTGAAAGGGAATGGGGGTGCGGAACACATCGTGAGGAGCGGGCAGGGGGCCATGGACCTGGGCTTGAAGGGAGAGAGAGGGGGAGAAAGAGGGAGAAAGCCCGAGGTGGCGACGTGGGGAGGTGTGTGCTGTGTGCTGTGCTGGGGAGTGAGCCAGTGTGGCGCGTATGAGGAGGAGGCATCACATCACGCAGCAGCACCGCAACGCCAGCAGCAGCAGTTTCGTTGGTGGACGCGCAAGGGACGCATGAGCATGTCGCATGCCAGCCCTTGTTGGGTGCAAAGGGCAGGCTGCTATAGGATGTCGGAGGTAATTATAAATTGGAGGATGGCAACTTTGCTGCTGCTGCAGCTGCTGCTGGATTTTGTTGCATCGCCCTCTCCTGTCGGTGGGCTTGCTAGGACCCTCGTTCTTCAATGCCTTTTTTACACGGTACGACCTGACCAGAGCCAGGTCAAACCAAACCAAGCCAGGAGGAACCAGGTCCGCGTTTAATACTGCGCCTTGTAATAGCAATCCACCTTACATCAGTCTTCCATTCATGCCCCACCGCTTGGGAACATGCAGCAACGTAAGCAGATTGCTCCCGGTGCTGTCCGGGCGGGGTCGGCATGCCCAGTACCGGTACCACCCAGCATGTATGTTGCCCACCGTGTCCCCACGCCCTCTCCACACCACTTCTCTTCCACCCAGTGGTGCATGTCACTCCAGGGCAACCTCACCTCCCCACGTCGTCCTCCTCGTCAACCGTACTCCTCCCTCACCTGCCGCCACCTCCTTCACCCCACCCTCCTCCTCCTCCCTCCCCCTACCTCCCCCCCATCCTCTCCCCCAGCAGCTGCACCTCCACCGCCCGCGTGATGGCCACCACCTCCTCCAGCGCCTCTATCCCGCCCTCCCGCTCCGACAGCGCCCGCTGAGCCAGCCGCGCCTGCTCCAGCATCCGCCGCCACTCCGGCGCCTCCAGCTCCTCCGGGTCCTCCGCCCGCAGCCGCTCCGCCTCCTCCATGATCGCCTCCAGGTTCTCCATCGTCTCCGCCTGCACCCGCTTCGCATGCCCCAGCAACCCCATCGCCTCCGCCTTAAACGCCTCCAGCCCCACCCCCTCCCCCGCAAGCGCCTCCACCGCCGCCTGCCGCTGCTCCCCCGCCAACGCCTCCGCCGCGGCAAACAAATCCATCACGCCCTCCCGCCCACCGCCGCTAAACGCCGACCGCATCCTCGCCGCCGCGTCCTGCCGCCTCCGCTGCGGGTCCGGCTGCAGTGCGGTATCCCCCAGGATGCCCAACACGTCATCCAGCAGCCGCTCCGCAGGGCTAGACGTACGGCGCTGGTAGGCGTACTTGAGCGTCCGGAAGCAGCTCTCCAGCCGCTCCAGGGTGGCGGCGTCCTGCCGCAGCGCGAGGGCGGTGGCGTAGCGCTGCTGCAGCAGGGCCAGCAGCGGCGGGTCGGCCTCCGCGGCGGCCGCCTCCAGGCGCGCCTGCAGGTCGGCGGCGGAGGGGGCCTCCAGCAGCCCCACGATGAGCTGCATGCGGCGGTGCATGCCGGCCTCGTCGAGCTCGGGGCTGGGAGGAGGCGGGGCGGAGGAGGCGGAGGAGGAGGAGGCGGAGGCGGAGGAGGAGGTGGGATCCTCGTCGGCTTGCTTCTCCTCCTCCTCCTCCTCGTCGTCGTCCAGGGCTTCCAGTTCGTCCACGTACATGGCCTCCGAGGGGGCGGCGGCGGGGGGTGGCGAGGGGAGCAGGCTGCTGTGCAGGAGCTCCTCGGCGACTGCTGCTGCTGCTGGCTTGGGGGTGGCGGTGGGGGTGGTTGGGGGGGTGGCGGCACTGGCAGCGCGGCTGCCCTGGTCATCACTGCGACCCCTGCCGGACACCTCCACCCCGGCCGCCTGCGCCGCTGTTACCTCCTCCGAGCTACCCTGCTGCTGCTTCTCCCCTTCCTTCCCCTCCTCTTCCTGCTCCTCCTCCTCCTCCTCCAAAGGCCGCTGGATGGGCTCCTCGCCCCGCCGCGCCCGCTCAAACACCCGCTCCACGTACCTCGCCGCATTCACCCGGCCCGCCAGCGCTATCAGCTGGTCATAGTCCAGATCCGCATCCTCGTTCACCTCCCCCTCCGCACCCGCTAGGAGCCCCTCCACGCTGTCAGCATCCTCACCATCGCCTTCCCCGGATCCGGAACCCAGGGAGCCCAGTCCCAGGTCGCCCAGGTCGCCGCCCAGGCGGAAGGACTGGCCGACCCGTGGGTCAGGCAGCGGCAGGTTGAGGATGTCCTCCATGTCCAGCTGGTTGGGGTCCTCGGGCAGGGAGGGGAAGGAGGAGTCGGGGGAGGAGGGAGGAGGGGGTTCGGGACCGAAGGGTTGGCGTCGGCTGGAGGATGAGGAGGCGGCGGTGGGGGTGCGCGCTGATGATGAGGAGGGTGAGGTAGCGGAGGAGGGTGCTGGCTGCTCGCTGCTTGGCATGGTAGAAGTGCTGGGTTGCTTGGGAGGGCGGCCGCGCCGCTTGGGCGCTGCTGCTGACGGGGCGGCGGCGGCCGTACCGGCAGCAGAAGGCGAGGGTAGGGTGGGTGGCGGCTCGGGGCCGAATTGCCGTCGCTGACGTGGTGCCTGCGGTTCTTGGGGCTGCTGCTGCTGCTGCTGCCCGGAGGCCGAGCTGCTGCTGCCAGCGCTGCCAGCACTGCTGCTGCTGGGTGGAGGTCCAAGCGGGTCGGCAGCCGGCTTCCCTCGTTGCGCCGCGGGAGCAGGCAGCAAGCGGGGAGTCGTAGGCGTGCGAGCGAGAGGATGAGAGCCGTGGCTTGGCAGCTGGCAGGGGCAGCGGCGGCTGCAGGGGGCTGCTGAAACACCGGCGGCTAGGTGAGGACCGGCGTAGGTGAAGCCCGCGAGCCGCCTGCTGTCGACATGGGAGCTTAGGCTTGGCGGCATGGTGGACTGGGCATAAGGGAGGTGCGCCATGCTGCTGCGTCAAGGTTTGGCCGAGGATGCCTTGCCAATGATACTAGCCGGAAGCCCTTTTCGGCCGTCAAACGAGCAGTCAGTTCGTACTGGTTAATCCTATTTAAGTGGAGTAATGTGCATGCCAATTGGCCAGCGCCGACCGTTTTGGTCGAGACGACGCCACAACACGGTATGCCGGTTTATAGCTCCAAGTACTAATATCAGCAATCTTAATATTGTACGTTAGCAATTCAACAAAGGAAAACACCGCTCGCTACCCGTGCTAGCGAAGGGCAGGGAACCGCTACCATTTTGCCGTACGGCACGTCGTCAACGATTGCGGTTTGCAGAACTGAAAACCTTCGTAGGGCTATAACCACAACATATATACACAACTTAAGCATCTGTCAGCGCTATTCTTAGGGCTGATAGTGACACCGATATCTTGTTCATACAAGCTGTATGTTTTTGCGTGGCTCTTAACGTAACTGTAGATAGTTGCACCATCGATACTATGGTGCAGACGCGTTGGACATGCAGCCTGGCTATCATGCTCCTTGTCCTTTGCAAATGCCATGTTACATCATCCCGGCATATCGCATCCCTAGAAGACTTTGACCATGACATGCAGCTGTCCCGTCAATTGCTACAGTCTCAGGATCGCAACCAAACGGATACGGGCAGAGACCCGTACCGGTTCGCTGAAGCCATAACCTTGTACTGTCTTTTTGCCTTATTTGTCATAGCTAGTGTCATCACGTGCATCCTAGGTGAGGATGCACTGTCCTGGGATCACACGTTTGTGGCATCTTTGATGTGTTGACCTCGCTGTCGTTCGAGGGTTGGACATGGCTGAAGCGAGTGTGCTCGCTATTCTTCTAGCCCAACTTGTGTTTCGGGTTATTCTGCAAGGGAATGGCCACTATGGGTATGCCTACCAACTGCTGTCACCTCTATTCCTGTGTTGCTCCTTCAACAGGTCTGGTGGTAACGTTACAGTGGCCCAACCCTCACATATGCTGCTACCGCACGCCATACTCGGACATACCAGCACTTGAGTCATGCGGCTGCTGTGCGCTGCACCGAATGAACATAGGTGAGGCAGTGGCTGGGATGTGCACTGAGCAACGGACAGGTCCGCGGTGCCTGTCTAAAGCGTTTTGGAGCTTTACAGGTTGTTTCCTTGCCGCTGTTGTCTCTTCACCAGGTTTCGGAGTGACATGGCTAGCGCTGCTGGTACTCCTGGTGCTAGCATACGTGTACCTCATGCCTGTAGCTGCCGTACTAGCTGTACTGCATGCCGCAGTAGGGTACCGCCTTGTACGACAAATCAAAGCGTCGTACGGACGAAATCGCAGCGGCGGCGGTGCTGGTGGCATAGCGCAGCAGCTGCAGCTGTCGGGGAGTGCGACGGACCCGCCAGGGCTGGTGGTAGGTGCTGGGGCTTCTGCCGAGGCTTGTAGGGGTCGCGCATGAGGGTAGCTGGGTGCAGGCAGGTCTGGCACCTTGTGGATACGTTGGGCGTAGGCCTGCCACACGGTAATAGGGTTGCAAAACCCCATCTAGGTCTGCTTTTCACCACTCTCTACTTGCTTCTCTCACCACCTCCCACCCCGCCTCACCTCACCCCTGCCCCGCCCCCAGACCGGCGTTGTGGTGACTGCCCCTCCTCCCCCTGGCGTGGCCATCCCCGGCATCCCCGTCATGCTGGTCCCCCTCACGGTGGCGGAGGTGGGCGCGCAGCTGCACACGCAACACGCATTCAACAGACAACAGCAGACGGCGGCGGCGGAGGGGACAGCAGCAGCGGGGCGGCCGGCGGCGGCGGTGCTGCCACCCGCGGCCTGCAGCCCCATGTCACGAGGGCCTTCAAGGTCGGGTGTGGCACTGCCACCGGTAGTGGCGGCGGCCGATGCATTGCAGGAGGGTGCTGCGGCTGAGGGGTGCTCCAGCCAAGCCACACAAGGAGCGCAGAGCCCAGCACAGTTGCCGCAGCAAGGGCGGCCGGAGCAGCAAGGGGCACAGCAGCAGCAGCAGCTCTCGCATGCAGGTCAGCAGCATGAGGGGCATCCGCAGCCGCAGGTTGGGCAGCCTGATGTTGGGGAACGTGAGGATGGCAGTGTGCTACATCGGTAGGCCCTACATGCGGCGCCTCAATTTATTTGGGATTGAGTGACATCGGAAGGGAAGGGTGCTGGGCTACTGGCTCCTATACACACGGCCCTTGCATAATGTGTCTGCAAATGCGGTTTCGAGGTTGGTGTTAGGTTGGTAGGAGCTGGGAATATTCACGAGGCAATGCGGGGCAAGAGCGTCATGGCTCTCGCCTGCAGGCATGCTGCTTTCTTATGTATGAGGACGCATGGTGTATTGCCAGGCTGTAGCTTATGCCCGGCTTCTGATGTGCAGATATTGTGGGGGTATTATCGGCGGTATGGTTGTGCATACATAGCCCGATGGCGGGTGATGACGTAAGAAGTGGTAGATATGGGTTTGTACTGTACCAGAAGTGTAGCAGCGTAGCAGTGATGACCATGTGTGTCGAGTGTGTCCAGGAAGGCGGCTAGCTAGGAAGGTGGGCTGACGACGCTGACTTTGAAAGACTGAGGTAGGGGCATACGCTGCATGTACTTATACTTGAACGTTTGGTGCATCATCAAACGCAAAGAGGGGTGCTGACCGTTTCGGAGGGCGCACCACACATGCAGGTAGCAGGGGCGCGCGCACCTTTGGGTGCCCATGCACCATCGGTGTATTTTCCATCCCAAAGGCTGTCCTGGCAATCAGTGGACCTTGGCCCGCATGAAACTAATCCTTGTGTATGATGGAAGTGAACATATGGGGCCGGCCAGGAATGCGCTAGAGATTGGACCATGGTCTGTAGACTGTTAGGTCAGTATGATGAACAATGGACGTTAGTGGGCTTCTTCATTATTAGGCACCGCAGGAAGAAGGATAGGGAGTCCCTGGCAAACGTTTTTTGTCGGACACTCTGATGCCCTCGACACGATCACATGAGGCCAAAATCACAATTCTATTCAAGCCAAATGACCCATGGGTCGGAGCGGAGTGGCTCCCGGTACCGGACCTTCGAAGGTGGACGTACACTCCTCAACACGCCACGCTTAACAAGCATTCGGCTTGCTATTCAATTAAAGGTCGGAACAAGGGAACCTCGATGCAGCTGCTGCAATGGTCAGGGTGACAGTTCAGCGATCCAGTGATCCAGCGAGTGAATGGCTCTGTGCTCTGCTGCCTGTAGCATAGAAGATCTTTCGTTTGCGATGCCGTACGTAGGCCAGGCGTACAGGGTAATAGCTGCAGGCGAGTCGACAAGGCGTTATCGGCATTCCTTACCGTAATATTTATACGATATCTGCTTCTGTAAGCATGCAGTGCCTTAGCGGGTGCGCATCCATGTGGCGGTTTTAGCTATCAGCCTCGGCGTCTACAGCACACACACAGCAGCGCAAGCAATTGCGTGAATCAGGGACAGAAGTTCACAGCTAGTGAAAACAGGAAACCTGATTATCGATCTTGCAAGTTACTCCCCAACGCTGATAAGACTGTTGCTCTGGATCCATTTTGGATTCTAGCCCGACAACCGCTCTCCGGGGACTAGGCGCGCAACTATGCAAGCATTTAGGCTAGATGGCTGTCTGTGGTTGACAGCTTTTGCAAGCGCGGCGACTTACTCACTACCCCGAAGACTATCGGAAATTTACTTAATTACATCGTTCCGATGGTAGGTTGTCGCCTGGCTACAACATTGCCCTATAACTTGTTGTTTTTTGCTTCTTGTTATTAAAATTAAAGACTGTGTGGCCAACGCAGGAGCATGTCCTTGACGGCGGGCAGCAGTTCGCTCGTCGGTTGCTGCACGGCGACGACGATGACGACGACCAATCGGGCCCAGCCACGTCTCGGTCGTTCATCACATACATAGTGTTTGCCATTTTCCTCCCGCCCAGCATTGGAGTATGCCTCATGGGTAAGGCCCGCTCGTCCGCGACCCTCGCACACGTGCATGCAATGAAGGACTAAGGCTTGCCCGGGCTTCCACACCTTGACCACCTAGCCCGAATTGGATTCCAATTCCATTCAGGTATCAACGCATTGTTGCCATCCCCTCATGCCTGTGGGTGCGGAAGACCCGCGCATTGGGGGAGCTCCCTGTGTTTCATGAGTAAAGGTGGGAACACGTGAGGCAAACTGGAAAGGCAGGGCGATGCTCATGCAACCAGTGTAAAAGCCACCTCGCCTGCTGCATGCGCTTCTAAAAGCCCCCGCTCCAATCCAGGCACGTTTCCAAAAAAGCCCGCTCCAAGCCAGGCGCGCCCACTGATCCAGCTTCTCCTTCATAAGGCATTTTTGCTTTACACCTCCCACACGTGCTGTCCCTCCCCTGATACTACAGAACCTTCCTCTTCCCAGCAACCCAAGCAGTCCACGCTTCCCAGCTCCCAGCTCCCGAACCTGCATGTCCCAACCTGCTCCCCTTCTACCCTCTACCTTCCACCCTACCCCAGTTTTCGCTGTGGTGTGGGGGGCGCTGACGGGCCTGCTAGCCGCGTTGTCCATTCTGGACCTCGTGGATGCGGGTCTGGTGGCGATGGCGGCGGCGCTGACGCTGGTGCATGCGGTGCTCGCGGTGCCCTTGGGCCGCAAGTACGGCAGAAAAGCGGCAGCAGGGGTTGTTGGGATGGGTTCTGCTGCTGGGGGCTCGCAGCAGGGGCAGCAGCAGCGGCTGCAGGGCGGACGTGGGCGGGCTGCTGAAGTTGCTGTGGTGAGATGGGAAAGGCAGGACGGGCGGGGAGCTGGTGTTGGCTTGGGTGGGTCGGCGATGCATGGGAACAATGGGTAGTTCGTAGGTGAAGGGGGCTTTGCTGGGTTGGGGCATGGAGGTGCTGGGGTGGACCCGGCCTTACTTGGTGTCTTGAAGCGTCTAGGGGTGCGTGGGGCCCACCTGGGTTTTGCAGCCCTCGCATGAGCTCCTTATCCTTGCTGCCTCATGTACGTCTGATTGCATTGGCTGTCTTACATTATGATACCGGTATTGCTTTGATTAGCTGGCCCAATATCTGCCTACGAGTGCGTTCCAACCCCACCTCACCCCTGCCCCGCCCCCCAGACCGGCGTTGTGGTGACCGCCCCTCCTCCCCCTGGCGTGGCCATCCCCGGCATCCCCGTCATGCTGGTCCCCCTCACGGTGGCGGAGGTGGGCGCGCAGCTGCACACGCAACACGCATTCAACAGACAACAGCAGACGGCGGCGGCGGAGGGGGTAGCGGAGGCAACAGGGATACCGTTGGATGCTGCTGCCGCCGCTACCGCGGATAAGCCGACAAACCCCGACATTAATAGCGAGTGTTCGGATTCATTACAAGCAGCTAATACGGCTGGAGGGCTGGAAGCAGCTGGGGTTCCCACGATGGCCGCTGCCTGCTGCGACACGCCGTCAGAGCTTCGCGAATGATTGGCTGCCTGCGGATGAACCAACGTTGCTTATACTGCACGGGTTCACCCATGCCGCAAAGACACCGGCGGGGAGGCTAGCAGCAGGCGTCATGCATGTACGTACATGTATGGGGGCCGCGTTAACGTCACCGGTGTTCGGATGAGGACAGGCGTTCCTATGGTTTGGGTGGAATGACGTGCTATGCAGTCCCTACCAACGGCACGCATTTGCTTCTCGAACGACCTTATACATTGGCAGCCAACGCATGACAGGGTGGGAGGGTGTACTGGAGCGGTCGAGCCTGGGAACATGATTGTGTGCATGTGCATATACATATGCCGAGCTACTTGGGATGCATGTCGTCTTACATGTGTGGATAATGCAACAGCGTATGCAAGTGTATGCAATAACTTTCCGGGAGGGGTCGTCGGAGATCTCTGCTCATAATAAGACGCTGTTCTCCCAATTCAACATCACTACTACACCTAAACACACAGCGCCACCCAAGGCGTCGCCTCGGGTAGTGTGCTTCCTGCTGCCGGGATGTATAAGGCCCAGAATGGTCGACCCATGACGGATTTGCAGCCATGGGCAAGTAGACTAGCGGTACCGTAATCGGGGCTGGACGGCTGCGTGTTGGGGAGGGGTTCCCAGAAGCGGCTGCACGTTGTTAACAGGTAATAAACTCGTGCATGGAGTGTGTTATTTGGAGAATAAATGTCGCTGTTGACAGCAGCTGCTGACGTGTGCGAGTCTAAGGGATATTGTCGAAATTTGCCCTGCATGGCAATCATGCAGCTGGGCTGGTTTACATGTACGGCAATCGGGAATGCCGCGTATAACGGGGTTGTTGACGGATATTTTGCGGGTTTTTACTAACTTCTGCTGAAGTCCAGATAGGTAAATGATCATACAACTGTGCACGCATTAACTCGCATGTTGCATGAGCAGATGACCCATGGGTCGCAAGGGGTGGTGTCGCACATGTAAGAGATTCGTCTTCCGGATTCCTTCACCCCTTCTCATTCGTACCGTCTTACAACCACTACCGTATAGGTACCGATGTACACACTACAGTACAACGGTTACGGGATCCGGTGCGTGGTAAATTGTCGTACAGCGGTTGGCTTCGGATGGCCCAACTGTTCGGAGTGCGAACCCGCAAACAGGACACGCGAGGCGCTAGAAAAGACACTTAAAGCAAGACAGAATTAACCTAGTGAAATATTTAACTGAAGGTTATATTCACAGTACTTTGCGGTGGTCATACAATGCGTCTTTTGAGGTAAACTCGGATCCTTCTCACGCAGATGGCAATCGTCCAAGGCCCCCAAAGGCTTCACCAGCAATTAGAACGCAGACAGACGCTGTGCTGCAATTAATTACGGGGCCATTCTTCGCTTCCTGCTGACACGACCCTCAGCTAGCGCAAGATCTATCTGTTAGCTAGTTGCTTTACGCAATAGACGGCCATTAAGCTGCATAATCCGCTGCCGCAATCAGCTTTAAAACAGTTTAGGCAACGCACCTTCGGTCGCCCGTAAATCAACCGCTAGCCGCTGTCCGACCGCTGGCCGCGGTTGCGACCCGCAACTCGACGCGTAATTATGGACGCTGTCGCAACGCGAGTACTCGCCTGCATAGTGTTCACTCTTATCCTCATTCCCAGCGCCGCAGTATGCGTCTTGGGTAAGTCTTAATAAGCACCGCGTCATGTCAGTCTGCCCGCATTGCTTTGTAACGGTCATTCATTCGCAGTGGCTTTCATCGCCTACCGCTGGTTCATTGCAGTGCACGTACGTGGCAGTGCAACTTCTTCCATCTCCTACCTCCCTGTTGGGATTACACGCACGCAACCAGCATGTTTGCGCACCCGTGACTCGCACCCAACGCATTTGCACGCGCCACCCCTCTGTACTGCCGCGTCTATCTACCGGCACCTGACCGCACAGGTATCCTCGCGCTGCTGCCCAGTCCCTGCTCACGTGGTCACGTCCGAGCCAAGCGCTGTGGCAGCGAGCTCTGTATCCTGAATAAAGGTGCGTGCTGAGCGTGAATGAAGGTGGGTGCTGAGGATCAGCAAGGAGGGTAGAGCCGGGGGCTAGCAGGCGGCGGCCGCCTGGATGATGCGCTGCCGGTGCTCACTCGGGTTCTCAATGGGTTCGGCCTGCTGCCACAACATGAATGTAGTGCCTGCACTACCGTACTTCAGCCTTCCTCACCACAAGCCCCTGCGGTCCTGCCTCACTCCTTCTGCCCACCCACCCACCCCGCAGCATTCGCTGTTATATGGATGGTGCTGATTGGCTTCATGGCCGCCGTCGCCGTGATGCGTATTGCAGCACTCCCCCTGATTGCGGCGGCTGCGGTCATGTGTGTGGTGCACATCCTGCTGGTCGTGCCCCTGCTGCGCAAGCTGGACGCCAAGGCAGCGGCGACAGTGCTACCAGCAACAACAGCTGCGGCGGCGGGTGCAGCGGGAACGGCTGCTGAGCTGCTGGGCTCGGCTGCTGCTGGGGCCTCACAGGAGAGCAGCGGACGTGGGCTGGCTGGAACGGTGGTGAGGTAAAGGGGATGTGGGCGGTAAAAATAAGGAACCCGACGACCTGACGGCGAGCAGGGTTCAGG